AAATACAGATATAGCGAAGTAATTTCATAGGTCCCAACAACTTCGTTATAACCGAGTTTTGCTGTATTTAAATACAGTAAAAAAAACACCTATTAACTTAATATGCCTGTACAGAATCCCTGCTTATGACCTAGTTGTATATATTGATTATGCTTCCAAATTATAGGAAAGTAATGAAATTAAATATCAGATATCAAATTTTGTTATTAACTAGGAAGTATTTATAATTGGCATTGGGGATTCATAATAACCCATTTTTATCTTAATCTACTGACCTGAAAATGAACTATGTAAAATAATACTTGTGTCATGTATTATTTTACATGTATTTTAACTATATCTAGTCTCAATCAGAATATGCCTATTAAATCTCAATAATTATACCTCATAACATCAGCCTCAAAGATTTATTAAATTGCCTCTTACCAATAATATGAGCATTCCATATTGGATTCTATATCCTTATTCCAAACATTTATGTCTCAAGCATCTTATTTTGCTGTCATATTCCAAATGGTATGTTCCAAACTTCTTGCATGGTTCCAAAAGATAATTCGCTGAAAAAGGTAGTCAGTGTGTTAGTTAAACATAGAAATACTTTTAAGCTTTAATCATATCTTATTAATTTAGTATATTTATCGTTTTTAGAATGTATCAAATTGCAATCACTTTATCTAAAGCATAACTGTCAGCTACATCAAATGCTTTATGAAAGATTTATTTTTTAATCTATCCAAGAAATAAAAACCATTTTTTTAAAAAAGGAGGAGGGGCATGTTGAATGAACAAATTATTCATTTAGTTAAACATGTCTTTAACCTCATAAATCAGCATGGTCACAAAGTGTCAGAGCAGTGTTTAGAGTTTTTGCTCTAGAATTGCAGAGTAAGGAGTTGATTCTTACGTCACTGGTCCGAGTTTCAATGTGGACCATGAAGAACAGCCCTACGATGAGACCATTTAAACTGAGGTCCTGAGTCACAGTAGGTGCTGGCATGAAAAAGATCCCTCTCTGCTCAGTGGCCCTCAGTGTCAAGTGCAGGTCTAAAGAACTGAAGCTACAAAGTACCAAAATTGGCCCAGTCAAAAAAAAAAAAAATAGATGAAACTCTCTGAAGTGATATAAATGTAGGAAGAGTAGATTATAAATAATTTAATTTTAACGATATTTTTTCTAGTTTCTTTGTGCAAACATTTTAATTTTGGTATTATATTGAAATGAAAAATATGCCCTAGTTCAGAATTTTGGAAAATTTTATTATAGGTTATCCATGAAGATCTGAAATATGGGAAAAAAGCTAGCTGATGCTTTCCTAACTTTAAGCCATTTTGGGTCAGATACAATTAATGGTAGAGCCACTGAAACAGCTTCTCTTACCGTAAATGTGAGGATAAATTCTCTTATGAAATTGCACTTGCACAAGGTTCAGACTGAGTGTTTATGAAGTCAAAATTTGACATTCATGATTTAATTTTTAGACCCCCTTTCTGTGTTATTGTGTTTTGAATTCAGTTATAAAAGCTCGGGTGAGCTTAAAAACTTGTCTTGTTGTTTCTTTTATCATTGTTTCAAACTTGAACAGGTCGAGGAAACTATTTTCTGTGACGTCGGAATAAATTTACATGTTAAGTGAGGAACCAACGTGACTGACAAATCGACCAATCAGCTCAATGAGTTGCATTATGGTTTACTACAAAAATACTACACGTGTGTTTCTAAAAGGCCAATTTTTTAAATCGCTCTCGGAAAAACGTGATGCATTTTTCCAAGCATTTTACACACTTAATACAATATGAACATCATTATCTACTAATTCCATGCATCTTGATATTTCAATTTATTCAAAAGGAATAAAAGTTGTATATTTTCCTACAGAAACTCACATTTATATACAAATGATTTATAAGGTTTTTTTTTTCAATAAAAATTTGCAAAATCATATGATTTTCAAATGGTAAAAACATTTAGTAAATACTCCATTGAACAAGTTCGTTTTTAAGGGAGGAAAAGAAAACATATACAGCATTCTTTTTTAATTATTTTCTATGTAAATTGTGTGTAATAAGATACGTCCTTAGAGTAACTTTTCTTGCAGTAACAAGTCAATTTCACTGACTTATGAACATTCCTAGATGATAGGTATTTTGTTATAAACTTGCTCAATGCATCAAAGAAATGGCAAAAAAAAACAATCAACTTTAGGAAAGATAACTGTTCTGAGACAGTATTAAACATGTGTGAAATCTCACGTATTGTCAATGTTTACATGTACCAAAAATTTACAGATACCCGGTATACAACTTCGAAATATATGCTACTCACGTTCTATGATCAATGTGCATGAGGATTTAATTATATAACAGGTAAATAGTTTTTAAAACATGCAACTTACGTTTTTTGGTTTTTTCCACTCCATTGAACAAGTCCCTTTGTTTACAGTTTTTTTTGATTCCTTTTTTTTCAATGTTTACTACGTATACAACTTCGAAATTTATCTATGATCAATGTGCATGAGGATTTAATTATATAACAGGTAAATAGTTTTTAAAACATGCAACTTACGTTTTTTGGGTTTTTTTTGTTTTTTTTTGTTTATAAAATGCAACTTTTTATTTCTAGTAACAAATAACTGAGCAACAACTAATTTAACCAGTTACATGGCAAAAAACTTGAGTCTTTATTTACTTGTGAAGACTTTGTGAGCGGTATTTCAAAGTACTATTTAACGAGGAAAACTGACTTTGTTTGTTAATGTGAGCATGGAGAATCTTAATTAGTACCTAATCTTCGTATTTTTCACAAACACATTTCAAAGAATTGTTTTCTGACTTTCCTACAGTCATTTGAAATCGCATTCCTAAATTTCCCTGACCCACGTGTTTGTAGTAAAAATAAACATGTAGTAGACCATCATGCTCTTCGGCTCATTCACTGGATTGGAACATTGTTTGCTGTGAGCACCTCTGTGCGCAATTGCAACAATATCCAAATAAGGTAGTTTCCTCGACCTGTTGAAGAGTGAAAAGTATTTGGTTTGACCATATAAACTTAAATGCTATGTAGTGACAGTTAATGAACATATGAGATGTAAATTAGCTATCTGTACTAGCTTAAGATACATACTTTCAGATAAGGAGAGTTTACTGGTAAAATTGTCTTCACATAAATAAATGTAAATATTATGTTGACGGTGCGATCATTATGGCTAGCGCAGATATTTCTTTTGTTATAATTTAGATCGGGTTTGTCAAACCGCATGTGCCATTTGGTGCGTCTAGACTCTGACGTCACATGACGTCGTATGTAAGTTACATTACCAAAAAGAAAGCCTGAACAATGTTAAAAGTAAATGAAGAATGTTTCGTTTACTATTTATCTTCAATGTTTATCCATTAAATCAGGGCATGTTAACTTTTAGTTGAACTTTTGCTAATATTCTTGCGAGAACGTAGCTTTAACACAATCGATGCACTCTGGGTCCAGAGTTGCTGAGGAAAAAAATTCTGATGAATGAAAGTGCAGTAGTCCAAATTTTCTCTTCGCCCAGTCGTTGCTTTAAGAGCTCGCAGTAGCGAGTGTCGCGAACTGCGCTTGCTATCATTTATAAATAAGATTTACTATAACAGATAATGTCAGAAGTCAGATACACATAAACCTATCACAAAAATGGCACTGCAGAAATTGAAATGAATTTTCTTTATCTCAAGGAAATATTTTATCTTGACATCAGCTAATATTCTATCTTGACATCAGTTAATTAAAATTAAACCCAACAAACATGTGCTTTCTAACTTTAATTCTAAAGGGTTGAGATTTCCGGAGTAGATCATTACAGGTTAGGCATGCAATACTGGAATATTGTTAGCATCTTCAGCAATCACAAAATTTTAATCCCTATATTTATATACAACAGCTGAACTTATACCAACATCATCACAAACAAATCCAGAATCTAAATAAACTACTGGTTCCTGACACTAGAATGCACTCTAATTGCTTTCTCTTCGACCAACACAAATGTTTTACGGCTTGCACAGAAGTTCACATAATTTTTCACTTTGAAATGAGCCAGTAAAGGATGTTGAAGTTATACCATTATACCATAGAATGAATGACAGAGACATATTTCAATTGAATTTTTTCTGTTTATAATCAAAATATTGGTGGATTATACAGTGCAGCCTTCACATACATGTCCCTTAAAAAAAATAACTACTTCAAAGTCTGAAAGTACATTTAAAAGAAAAAGACAATTAAACTTACCAAAAACTGGATCTGCTAAACCTCTTTACTCAAGCCTAATTTCAACCATGTCTAGATGGTCCAAAATTCATGGCAACCTTTGTGTAGGTCCAATTCTTTTAACCAGCCAGATGCAGATGGGTCCATCCATGTAATGGTGCTAAGCAGAATACTTCTGTTGGTCCATCTTTGTTATTTTTGATTGTCCACATATGTACTTTTGATGATCCATCCATGTAAAGGGGCTAAGCTTAAAACTTTTATTAGAGTCAAGACATATTTGTCATGACCAAAAAAACATACAAAGTTACAGACATTCTGAGCATTTCCAACCAATTCTTCTTGGCCATGATACAGACCAAACCAAATTCTGCAAATTCAGACATGCAGCAACATGATTTGGGTATCAATTGACACTCATTTCTAAGAAATTATTCTCAGTTCATAAACGAAGGTCTTGTTTCATGCCAAGCAATTCAATATTAGAAAAGCTAGTGGACAAACAAGCCTTCATTTTTTGACATACTTTACAAAACATTTAAAACAGAAGTGATTTTAGTTATCAACCCCCACGAGGTATCTTAAAAAATCAGTTTTGAATGTTTTGTAAAACTGATTCCATTCAATGACTCAGGTCAATCTACTTGCAGTGACAGAAACATACTTCTGAATCAGTTGACCTTTGACATCATTTACCTCTCACGGATGATTGGTCACTGGTCTCCATAGCACTCAGTTGACCTTTGACACAACTTACCTCTAATAGATGATTGGTTACTGGTCTCCATAGTACCTCTACTCTATGCAGATTGACTAGCCCTGTTTCCAAGAGCTTGGCAACAGCAAATAGGGACGGTTCCTGTAGAAGAACAGAAAAATTTTGTTTCTCATTTCTTTTCTTAAAATTCAAATTTAAATTAAATGTTTATGTTATTTTAGAAGGATGATTTAAATTCAACTTTACTAGTGTTAACTGATAGACTACATTGACACTTAATTCAAAGTGCCCTATTGGCTCATTTTCAACAAAGACAAGACTTCTAAGTTTTCAATATGTGTATGTCATATATGATAAAAATATAGCTCATAATGTACCCAGCCATAATTGTACATATATATGGTTATGAAATTCACAATTTTTATTCCCCCTTTTCACATATAGTTGCTAATCATGCTAAAATTGGTTGAAATTGGTTCAGTGGTTGCAGATAACTCAGGTGACCTAAAAGTGTATCCTTATATAAATATTCTTTTTCGAATTTCCTGAAGTTGAAGTAATTAACTGTAGAAAAACGAAATCAAAAATATATACTTTTGAATACCCAAATCTCAAGACTTAGGTAGAAATTAAATTATAAAGGCACTCGACATTAAAAATTAAATAATATCAGAGGTGTGACTTCTTACTTATCGCATAAAAAAAAAAAACATTGCAACTCTCAATATATCTTATGCTGACAATAAGCCTAAACCCTGCAGCTGTTCTACCTTATCCATCAAAAGCAATTGAACTAGTTTGCAAGTTTTGATATCTTGATGGTTACTACATAGGCCTATCATATAAAATACACTGTTAAAGGGAAAATACTTCCCAATACTCAAAAGGAAGAAAATCACTCAAAACTGTTCAAAAATAATTAAAGAAATACTGAAACTAAATGAAACATAAAATAATGTACACTGGGAAAAATTAACAACATGTATTTTGGTATCAATGTTTATGAATTCTAAGGATGATGCCTTGAAAGCATATATTTACTAACAAATTACTAGGAATTTCTAGATAAGTGGGTAACTGCAGATCTGTAGCTCAATGGTCAGTTAAACTGGGGTAGATGAACAGAGAGGGTAGATAGCCCATCATAATTTCATTCCTAACCAAGGAGCTATGGGTCTGCAACTAACTGGCAGACCCTAACTTGCTTTAGTTATGCTGAAAAGATTTCTTGTACATCAAGATAACACATTTTCATTGTTTGTAAAAAAAAATAATAATCCTGTATAATGTTTTTGTATGCATCATTTTTTTTATTTAAGGCTATATAGTAAAATGCTTCCCAAAACCTGGTTACATATGCTAGCATTTATTTTTCACTACAGAGCTTTGATTTTTTTTTTTTGCATCTGTCTAATTGTTACTATAATGGATATGATATACCGTATATATTCATCATTTCTATCAATATTCGGTTGAGTACATCACTGTAAGACTTCATGCCTATCATGTTTAAAGGTACTTGGACACAGATTTGAAGTTAATATTTTCTGTATATTTCTGTATAATATCACGAATTATATATTTTAATAGCATTTCACACAAAAATTAATTAAAAATCTTATTTCATATAAAAGATAAAATTTCAAATTTTTTGGCGGGTTTGATTGACACATCCTTGCACTTTCACAAATTAATTTTATTCTTAATCCTTAGGTAAAGTGGCAATCTCGTTGTGTATAAATGAAAAACATTAATATCATAATCCAGAAAATTCAGAGTAGACATGTTCGAAAGCAAAACAAACACACAATATATTGTCAGTCCGTGCAGTTGTGGTAAGCAGACTGTGACGATTGAATGCACCCGGTGAATTCTAAATATAAACAATAACAGAACTCGAGCCCTGTTTACAAAAATTGTGTACATAACACGAGTGTGCTCGATTTGCTAAACTCTGTAAGCAACCCTTAGTTAGGAATGACGATACTTGTGAGGGAGTTGTGCTTTCTAACATTTGTACTCGGAATAAAACTATTTTTCTGGATAGAAGTTTTAATACTTCTCATTAATACACAACAAGATTGCCACTTTTCCTAAGGATTAAGAATAAGGTTAAAATTTGTGAAAGTGCAAGGATGTGTCAATCAAACCCGCCAAAAAATTTCAAGTTTTAATAACTTTCAAATGAAATAAGATTTTTAATTAATTTTTGTGTGAAATGCTATTAAAATATATATGTCGTAATATTATAGAAAAAAAATTGACTTCAAATCTGTGTCCAAGTACCTTTAATAGAACTGGTACCTGATTAGATAAAGCACATTACCCACAATTCAGTTCATTTAAATAATTTCCCCAATAAAACAATACTCTTTAAATAGTCCAATAACAAAGGACATAAAATAGGCAGGTTTCACTGTACTTATAACTAACATGCACTGAAGCAAGCTGAGAAATAAAGGAAACATTCATTGTAACCATGTTCCTTTAGAAAACCAAACATGGCAGACTTCAGTGTATTATATATAATTGACGCAAAAGTCTTATTTTATTTTTTTGTATTCCTTATTTCCATTCATATACATACTGCACAAAGATAAGGAAAACAAATACCCCCCCTCCTTTTAAAATATTCTGGAAACCATAAGAATTCATGGTACCTATACATTTTCATAGTAAATATACATGTATATAGAATAAAAATGCTTTTTGTTTTAAATAGCTGTGTATCTTTGAAGAGAAACTCTTGTTTTTCAGTAAATGTTAGGTACATGTATAAAATAATGTAATGGTATCATTATCCAGATCATATAGCTCTAGATGAAATTCAATGGGACCACCACAATAAGCTGAGTTTAATAACCTTAACCTCAGTCCCTGATTATATTTCACACTATTAAAGTGTAATGCACTTTAATACATGTATGTGGAAATTTTAATTTACACTCACAATGACATAAGCAATGACATAAAAATTACGTCTGTTTACAAATATGTTATGACATTCTCTTCCCACCCGATCCTATCTAATTAGCTCTTAAATTTTAATCTCTGGAACATGATTAAGGTGGTTTGACAAAACCTACCACTCAGGCCCTATAGGAATTGACATTGAAGTCAGATTGTACAGTAAATTTTGTCTACTTCTAGAAAGTGGTTTATAGAGTCTATTGCCCTGTTCACACAGTGAGTTTAATTCGAATTAAACATTAAGTTACTGCGAATTTGCTTCGCTTAGCGTTCACATGGAGACTTCAATGCATATTATTTTAATTCGAATTAATTTACTGCGCATTGAATTACTTGAAGTTCGCATTAGCTCTGTGTGAACGCTAAGGAAAGCTAATTCTATTTAAAATTTTGACGCATGCGTAATAGCAAAAATAAGTCATATGTCACATGTCGGTGGTCAGCTATAGGTAATTGTGCAATTTCTGAGTGAAAAGCTAAGGAAAATTTTGCTAATCACTAAAATGTAAGGGCGAAACGATTACACGTGTAAATGGCGACGTTTCGATTATATGCTCTAAACGTTTACAGTTTGAGTAAACGTTTACACGAAGGTCATTATCAATGTCTATCAGAAATAAAGTTTAACACAAAAAAAATTGTTTTATTTCATAATTTACAAAAGAAACACCGTCTTTGGCCATTTGATAAGCAACAATCTAAACCGGAAACATATTGAATGAAAATATCTAAAACCCGCTATGGGCTAACATAATTAATTCCGATTTCCGAGTTGCTAATACTAGCGATGTTTTACGACACTTGAAATATAAAACTTGATATATTTTGATTAAATAAATATAATACATTTTTCACAAGTCTTTGAAAAGTTTCAATACATTCAGCAGGTCCTGTTTTACTTTTTTCGAGATTAAAAGATCCATCTTTACAATTATTTTTTCTGTCCGGTAACCAAATAAACCAAGCAGTTGGGTGACAGGTCGTAAGGAATGAATTTAATGCGCCTCAAATTCTTACGGTTAAATCACAATGACCAACAATAAATTTGTAATAACAGCTCATACTTATATTAAAGTGAAAGAATTGATTATTAAATTCGAGTTTCATGAATGAGTAGCCATAAAAATCCAACATAGAATATTTCCCGTTTAAACGGTACCGTTTCGTTTACTGCTATCCGTTTAAACGTTTACAAAATTCAGTAAACGTTTCACCCTTACTAAAATGTGTGGAAAATTTTGCTAATCACTAAAATGTGTGTACAGACACTTTCAAAATATGTCAAATGGATCAGTTTCTGCACAAGGTGACGTGATTTGCAAATGACGTCATAATAGCCTTCCTAAGACTGACTGTAGAAGTAAAAATTTTAATTCACATTATTTTACTTCGCTTAAGCTGTCGTGTGAACACACTTTAATTCGCAATATTTTAATTCGCATCAGTTTACTTCGCATTAATTTACTGCGAATTAAACTCTCCGTGTGAACAGGGCATATATATCATCAATAAAATTTTCAAATACCGGTATAGCAATTGAGGACTTGACTGTATCCATAAGAACTAGTGTTATACAGAAGAGTATAGCTATAATAAAACTGCTCAACACCATGCAGTACTTATGTATCAAGTTAATTCATACAACTCATTATGAAATTTCATAAAAAAAAAAGCAATAAAGTGTCTGCCATGTTTAATTAAAGAACAAGGTCACATAAGGTCAAAGGTGACTAATCATTGTGAAAAACCTACAGCATCCCAAGAAAAGTAGAGTACCTAAAAATAAAACAGGTTAGTTAAACTGGCACTGAAAACATCGGAAAAGCCAATCATAGAACAATAGATGCAAGTCATTATAAACAAAAATTATTTTTACTGAAAGTCAACCGTAATATACCACCGAAAACATATTAAAATAAAAAATTCTCATTCGATCATTCTTTAAATCAAAGCAACCAATGATGCCATCATAAATAAAATATTTTCATTATGCATAACCAAAAATCACCGAAGAATTAAATAAGATAAAATGCACTTATATAGCACAAGTCAAAAATTAATAATCATTCCTGTACACAATATTATTCCATGCAGATTACTTGTACATTCCAACACAGACCCATTGTGTACCTGCAGTGTCCTTAACCAAAGTGAAGCATTTACATTTAGCATGTTTAGTATGTCCCCTATATTGTACGACATGTAAAAGGTTTAAATGCTTCATATACCCAATATCTATATCTTTTAAGTACAGTAAAGCATGTTTATAATGAACATGCTTATAACTAATTAATGCTTCATGTAGCAAAAATACAATTCAAAGAAAAGTAAGGTAAAGTTCAATGGAAAGTTTAAGTTCAAAAGAAAGTTTAAGGTCAAAAAAATATTGTTGCAGTTGAACAGCACTCCTCAATATGTATAAGTATAATACTGCTTAATTGATAAAAATATCTTGAATTGTTTCTTCAAAACATGGCTAAACACAGATTTAAGAAAAGTGAAGTCAAGGTTAAAGGAAAGGTCAAGGTAAAAAAAAATTGTCAGAGAAATTAAATAGTTCTCAACAGTATATATCAGAACACAAGGTTTGATAAAAATATCTTGTACAGTTTTGGTTGGTCTGAACTAATTTTTAAAACACTTATGAAAACATAGGTAATCAAAGATTATGAAGCTCACCTCGACAAATGTTATAAGTTTAAGTAATGCAAATCTCACATCATATTTTTTTTATAGGTAACGTATTCTGACAACAATATTTATGCAAGTGATATTGATCAGAAGTAAGTCTTAAAGTTCATTTGGGATTGACCTGTTCCAAAAACTTAAACTGGTCACTCATCTGGAAAATGTATGTCAGACCCAGCATCCAAGCAAGTCTCGAATTGTCAATTCTTAGATGCATCATCCATGCAAGTTAACTCATAACCATCCATAAAATTACAGAGCTACTCCCAAAATATTACCCTGGTTACTCATCTGAAAAAGTAGGTCAGATCCAGCATCCAAAGCTAGTCTGGTAGTGTCCATCCCTAGATGCATCATCCATGCAAGTTTGGTCCAAGTAGGGCTTAAAGTTCCTTGAGAATGGACCTGCTCCAAAAACTTTCACCTGGTCACTCATCTAGAAATTGTAGGTCAGATCCAGCATACGAAGCAAGTCTGGTAGTGTCCATCCCTAGATGCATCATCCATGCAAGTTTGGTCCAAGTAGGGCTTACAGTTACTTGGGAATGGACCTGCTCCTAAAACTTTAACCTATAAGCTCATCTCGACTTCGTCAAGGTGAGCTAAGAAAAAAAATGAGGTTACCTTGATACCTTGAAGGAGAGGTAAAAAAATGTTGATGCACTTGAATGGTTGTCATTCATATGAATCATTGTAAATATAATGAATAATTTCTTTGGAACTTTATTTAACACAGTTTGACAGAAGAACAGACAGAAGGATGGATGGCCAGATGTACAGCCAGACAGACAAATGGAAGAGGAAATGTAGCATTGGCAGGCTAGAACCAATTGTCAAAGACAAGGTATTAATTTAATTTCTCAAAAGGAAATAAAATATTTTACATTGGGTCTGGCCCAAAATGATGTCCAAATTAACACACATATCAATAATTGTTTTCAAGATAATTTTACAGACTTCAAGCAGATTTCTTACTGACAAAAGGTGATGAGTCATTCCATCATCAGACATCTAGCTAATGACATTCCCTCTGTTGTCTAATTATATATTTTGCTCTTTGCTATAGTCAACACACATCTTTCTATCACCTAGCTAATGTATAGGTATCTTAATTCAAATGGAAAACACCAAGCTAATACACAGTCATCTTATTTCAAAATGAAAACTTGATGTCTTATTTCCTTTGATAATTGGTATTAGGCCTCTCTACAAATAGAATTTCCACTATTCATCTCAACGAAGACCACATATTTTGAACTTTTCAAACTGTTCAAATTAGAACTGTCCAAAATGGTCAAATATCCCCTGCTAGGTTTTTCAGAGAAGGTAGCATGTCACTTATACTAGTATTGGTGTTCACAATTTGTTTAAACACTTAGAGTGAAAATTTACTGGTAATTGATCATTATATATCTTTAATTAATAATTATATGAAACTAAGGCATAGCCTTATAAAACATCAGACCAAATGCACAAACGACCTTCAGTCAACTTCATTAAACACCCTCAGTTCACAAGCAAACATTTGTTATTTGGGAATTCACCATGTTTATCCATACGAAAGATATAGACCAGAAATGAATTATGAACTTTTTCTTTCAGTGACCTTGAACTTGCAAAAATTACTTTGGATCAAGATCCTGACACACCCTCAGGTCATAAGCAATCCTTGTGTGAAAAAGTAGACTCTAGTTTTTGCATGAGGACCATGCAAACACAAATAATGAACTTTTTTTAGTAACCTTGCAACTTGCACAAATGACCTTGGGTCAAGGTCATGACACACCCTAAGGTCATAAGCAATCTTTGTGTGAAGATGTAGACCCAAGTTTTTGCATAAGGAACAAACACAAATTATGAACTTTTTTTCAGTGACCTTGAATTTGCCAAAATGACCTTGGATCAAGGTCAAACACACCCTCAGGTCATGAGAAATCTTTGTAGTAGCAAATTCTAATGTTCCAACATAAGAAAGATATGGACTGGACACATTTGCATGGACAGAGAGACCTACACACACAGACATACATATATGTTATTATTTGTAAAAGTTTCTCAATATATTTACAATGTAATACCATATTGGTTATTTTTGTTATTGAACCCCCCAAAAATTAAATCTTCAACACATGTATTTTTGAAATCACAAGCTGTCATATTTGCAAAACAAAATAGTAGTGGATCAGAGTTTTCAAATTATGATCAACCAAATACATCTTTTCCTTGCAGCTATAGAAATGAGACTGTTCTTACATAATTCAAAGCCTCCCAAAACAAATTTGCCAAGACCATACAGAAGACCATTTTTTTTTCTGTTTGAATAATTCATAGCATTGGTAGGCTAGACCTGGTGTCAAAGGTTCACAATTAATGTCCAAACTTCTCAATAAAGGAAATAAAATGTTTTATAGTGGAGTTGACTGCAATGATGCCCAAAATAGCACATCTTGCCACAATTTGTCTTGTAGACAAAAGTTTACAGATATCAATGTTTTCTTGCAGACAGAAGGCACTGAGTCAATGTAATAAATGGACATCTCCTGGCTTAAAAAGCCATTTTCTCTGTGGTTTAATTGTACACTTTACTCTCCCCAATAGTAAATACACTGTGTTCCATACCCCCAGCTAATGTACATTTATCTCATTTCAAAATGAAAATTATATGTCTCATTTGGTATAACATGATGTTAGAACTGTTTGGCAAGCATGGAAAACTTGCATTATCTATCACGATGGAGAACTTGTGTTTTGAGTTTAAGCAAACATAAAAACAAATTTATACCTTGAATAAACTCTTACAATTGTACTTCTTTTGGTCTTTATCATGGTTCCCCAAATTTAGAAGACAATATTGTTTATTTTGGCACTGTCTGTCCATCTGTTGCAAGATTTTAATTATCAGAAACAAAACTTTCAAGTCTTTAAGAAACAAGTTTAGAACTTTAATGACAAAGGTGGATACTCTCTGATTTATGGCCATAGATCAAAGGTCAAGGTCGAGGCACAATAAGACAACAGAAATGTGTTTGGACCATGGACTAGTTGGAATGGTTTTAACTTCAAGAACACATTTTACTCAGATAAGGAAAATATCTTGTTTGGCAATAGGATCATTAAATCATTTTCAACTATAAATGAGCCCTCCCTTGGGCCTGTTAAAGGCTCCTTGCATATTGAATTCATGCCAAAAATTTCACTGCTTGATTCAAACAGTTAATTAAGATGTTTGAACGTTAAGGAGGCTGGTGGGTCAACAAATTAATCCCAAATTAGCCACCAGATTTAACTTAACTTTTTAGATAAGGTATCTTTAGCTGTCAACTATCATTTGACAAAGAAAAAATTCATACATTTTAGTTTTAAAATTTGATCATTTTTGTATATCTTTATATGGAGCTCTCCTTTTAAAGGAGGTTGAAATAGTCTAAAAATGACTGCCACCCCCCAGCCTCTTTAATGCATCAATTCTTATGATTTGTTTTGGCTTCATGCCTTCCCCTCCCACCCAAGCCACATGAAGGCAGAAACCACATAGTACATGTATGGACAATAAGAGTGACTCTGGTGACCCAGAAACAAGAGGCCCAGGGGCCACAGCGCTCACCTGAGCACATCGGGCTTGAATTTACTCCCCCCCCCCCCCTTCCAGGCATTCATCATTTGAACAAACTAGAATCTACACTACCTGAGGATGATTCCATATAAATACCCCGGGTATCACTAATCATAGCTTTGAAGTACTTGAAAAGAAGATTTTAAAAGGTTTCCCTATATATCCCTATGTTAAACTTGGGTCGGCCATTTTGGCCCCACCCTATCCCAAGGGCCGGGGGTCATGATTTGAAAAAAACTTGAGTCTACACTACCTGAGGATTGCTTCCCTATCAGTTTCATCTTTCCTGGCCCAGTGGTAATTGAGAAGGATTTTTAAAGATATTTCCTATATATTCCTATGTAAAACTTGGGTCGGCCATTTTGGCCCCATCCGTGCCCCGGGGGGTCATGATTTGAACAAACTTGAATCTACACTACCTAAGGATGATTCCACATGAGTTTCATCTTTCCTGGCCCAGTGGTTCTGGAGAAGAAGATTTTTAAAGATTTTTCCTATATATTCCTATCTAAAACTTGGGTCGGCCATTTTGGCCCCACCCTTGCCCCAGGGGTCATGATTTGAACAAACTTGAATCTACACTACCTGAGGATGATTCCACATGAGTTTCATCTTTCCTGTCCTAGTGGTTCTTGAGAAGAAGATTTTTAAAGATTTTTCTTATATATTCCTATGTAAAACTAGGGTTGGCCATTTTGGCCCCATCCTTGCCCCGGGGGTCATGATTTGAACAAACTTGAATCTACACTACCTGAGGATGATTCCACATGAGTTTCATCTTTCCTGGCCCAGTGGTTCTGGAGAAGAAGATTTTAAAAGATTTTTCCTATATATTCCTATGTAAAACTTGGTTCGGCCATTTTGGCCCCACCCTTGCCCCGGGGGTCATGATGTGAACAAACTTAAATCTACACTACCTGAGGATGATTCCACATGAGTTTCATCTTTCCTAGCCCAGTGGTTCTGGAGAAGAAGATTTTTAAAGATTTTTCCTATATATTCCTATGTAAAACTTGGGTCGGCCATTTTGGCCCCACCCTTGCCCCGGGGGCTATGATTTGAACAAACTTGAATCTACACTACCTGAGGATGCTTCCACATGAGTTTCCTCTTTCCTGGGCCAGCAGTTCTGGAGAAGAAGATTTTTTAAAAATGCCATTAATGTTTAACAAATGAATGATTATCTCCCCTTGGAAAAGGGCGTGGCCCTTCATTTGAACAAACTTGAATCCCCTTCACCCAAGGATACTTTGTGCCAAGTTTGGTTGAAATTGGCCTAGTGGTTCTTGAGAAGAAGATAAAAATGTGAAAAGTTTACAACAACGACAACGACTACGACGACAACGACAGACAACGGACAAATTTTGATCAGAAAAGCTCACTAGCCTCACTTGAGCCTTCGGCTCAGGTGAGCTAAAAAAGTCATATTCATTTAGTTCTGTAATTAAATAATAAATCAATAAATAATAAACTGCTTATACAGGAATCCATTAATTATGTACAATATATTTCATTCTAATTTCCAACATTTAGGTAGCAATGGTTAAAACTGGCCGCAAATGTATACTGAGTTTGGAAGCACATAAACATTTCAGTATAGTGATAAATAAACATTGCTAAGAAATCACTAATTACAGAGGGGAAAAAATGATTTTAAGAAGAAATTGATTGTCAGTCTTTCAGTAGCCCCAGCTGCCAAGTCTGTTAGTGGATTTACAAATGAAATATTTACACAAAACTGTCTGTCTCCAACAATGATAAGACATTTGTGAAAGTGACAGCTATTTCATTAGCACCAAGGATGCTTGATAATAAGTTTGATTCAATTCTTTATCCACCTTCTTCACAAAATGCCATCAAACTTAAGTGACCTTGACCTTGAATATTGTCTATACGATAAGAGGACACATGCATCTACCAAAAATCTATTTCCATCATCTTTTCTCTTAAACTATTTTCAAACACTTGAGAATTATCTGTTTGTACTGACTGAATTTGTGATAAGATTCGGGAAATTAATTAAATTTTGTTATAAAAATCTACCAAGTCATGATTGCCTTCTTCTCCCAAGTAACTAACATGCAATCTTCTGGCAAATGAAATCTCTTTTTGTCTTTCATTTTATCATTTGTCATGTTTGTCACCGCAGGCGATTTCTCTGTATCAATTAGTGTACCTACTGTTGACGGCTGATTTTACTCTGTGATCTAAGAGAAAAACTGCACTATAATGGCCCAGTCTTCATCAGAGACAGTCATTCATGTGGGTAAAATTAAATTTACAATTCTAATTTTTACAATCAATGATGATTATCTTGTCTTATTAAAAAACATTATTGTAGATGCTCAATATTGAAAAATAAATGAGTATATAAAGTCAACATAAGCTCAGTTCTTTAATTAGCACTGTAAAAATTGATTATGTATGACAGCTACAAATTTTAATACATAAATATTATACTTTATATCTTTAAAAAAGAACCCAACTCTAAAAATGCATCAACCTAATCATTTATCATTCTTTTACATTTTAAGTTTTCATGCCAAACTATATCATACTCGAGGGGGTTTTATTTTGCCTAGGTACGTACACCAAGCTTTTGACTTTTTAACCAAGTTCACATCTGTTTTCAAGGTTTCTGAAGAGAGAATTTACGATCACATTCAAACAAACCCTCCTCATCAGGAGCCTGTCTATTCCTACCCCAGGATCAACTCAATTCCTCAAGTGTTTTAGAAGTGGGATACAAAAAGGATACTTCACATTTCAAATAAACAATAAGCTTCCCTTGTTTTATCATTAAAATGTCTAATTAAACATCTTCAAACATTTGCCTGGTAGCCTCCAGATGAATTTCCCGTCTACAAGAGAAATCTTTTCATGTGGTCCAAAAACACAGCTCTTGAGTCTGTACCTCTGCGTAATTGTTTTGCTTTTTTTAGTCTTTTAATACTGTGTTGTCAAAAAATTAATATGGCATGCATATTTTTGAAGATTCCAATTAATTATTAAGAGCTCTAGGATCAAGACAAGAAACTTATAATTATGTCTCACTATACGTACTGTCTTGGCAATGAGACAACAGTTTCCAAGTTCAAACAAATTTAAATTTGGTAAGTCATATATTTTGGGATTTTTTTCCAAGTACATATCTTTACACATGATCCAACATTTATATGTATAAAATCTCTAAATAATTTCACTTGCTATGAAATTTATCTAGATAAAATTATGATTTTCTGATCTGCAATTGACATTTAAAGGTCAGTTATTAACTTATACTCCTTCCTCAATTTGTACCCTCCAGTACACATTAATACATTTTCTTCTCTCGGCAATCAACATCTTGTCATAACCAGGATGAATCTTAACCTGAATTCCAGCTTCTAAATCTATCCCAACTTATGGTCAAACTCAATATGCATGACCCATTTGCATGCGTTAATTAGAGGAGATTCTTAATTCAGTTCATAGCGACAGGTCTGGATCCTAAGGTCTAATAAATGGCATACTGACCACCTCCTCCATCCCTCCCTACTCACACACAATGCACCCCACACACACACACACACACACCAAAAAAATACCAAATAAATCAAATGGAAGAAATTGGAGACTTATAATAAATTTTTTTAGTGACCAAAGGTTTGTGAATTTTTATTTTGAAGTGAACAGGACAGATTGAACTTACTCCACCAGTTGAATGTGATTCATTTCTTCTACAAGCATTCTCATCCCTGTTTAAGCTGGTCTTAATTATAGCAGATCAAAGGTTTCACATTGAACAAATTACCTCTCAAGTGACACAATCAATCACAAGAATTCTAGGAGCAACTAAAAACGAAAACAAGCCTGTTTTTATCTTTGTGACCTGGAGGTGAGGTTTTCTTAAGATCTGGCATACCAAGAAAAACACATCACAACAATTAGCTACTATCACTCAATTTCAAATCAGATCATTTATTATCACTGGCCATTCATTCTAAGATAGACAACTCCACCTTATCAGAATCAACTATTTCAACAGACTCAATCATGTCATACAGGTATTTAGGACTTTGAACAAATTTTAAATTTTAAATTTACTACTCTTGGTTTTATGCTACATTATTTTAAAGCATCAATCATATAGCAACTCACTTTGTTTCTACAAACAGATATAGCACACTCGACAGATGCATCAACAAAGAATCCAAAATTGCCTTTGGTGGAAATTAACAAAGATCGCTAGTTTTAAAAAAAAAACTTATACAACCAACCTTGTGTTATATTTTACGAAGATAAAGATAAATTTAAAAGGGCTCAAGATACTATAGATGTCTTATCTTGATTTATTTGTAAAAAATCAGAAGATTTAATAGTGACTGTGTATAAAATCAGAAAATTTATTTTCATGCAAAAAGGAAGGATTTCTTTGTGAAATCTTCTGATTTACTTGTAAGATCAGAAGAAGAAAAGCACAGTATTGTTTAAATTACAGCTAGTTTAAATTAAACCAAATTACTGATGTGATGAGAACATCATGGTCACTCTACAGACTTTATGCTTTATAATTTTGTGCTTTATATTTCTAAACTATCAAAGTAATTATTTCATGAACACATTCAAAATTTCTGACTGGGCTTTAAGCCCCTGACAACCCCCCCCCCTTTGATGTCTGGACAAGAGGGAGAGGGGCACTACAAAGAAAACAACAACATGCCTTCTTAAAGGGACAAAAGGGTATAAAACGGAGAATTCAAAACAGCAACCTTTCAATAAATCACTAGTTGAGTCATTTGTCTGACTGAGCTTCAATATGAATAACTCCAGACAGTTTAGTTTTAACAGACTTATAAGCAAAATCAAGACTGCACCAAATCACATCAAATTCCAGTGGTCACTAATCAAATTAGATGAACAATATATATAACTTAAAAAATCAAGATTTTTAAAAAACTTTTAGTCCTTTTTTTGTGGAAATCTTGTTAAATGATAGCTTTAGATAATATACACAGCAATAACCTGAATACACATGCCAGATATACATATTTGTTAGACAGATAGAGTTTCGGTCAGTAAGTGTTAATTGTACAGTCACAGACAGCTAGACAGACAGACAGACTTACTCGGTTAGTGTAGGCCAGCTCCATAGACTCACTGCTCAGTTTACATAAGGCATCAATCAAATGGTGAAGAGCAACATCATCTAAATACCTACAAATTACAAAAGTATTACAGGAATACCAATTATAATTACCAAGATTACAATTTTTGGAGAGGTGAGGTTAAAAGGTTTTATAACATTGTCAAATACAGATTAACTTCAGTATCTCAAACACTGACATGTCATATACCTTAGTATAAGGAATTTAAACCGCATTTTTTTATTTTAAATGAAAGGTGAGAAAGAGATAGAGGTTAGTGCTTGAAGTTCTGAGATATCACGAAATTCTGTTGTTTTAGCTTTTGATTTAAAATAACAGTGCATCGAAGAACCAAGTTGCTTTCCATCAAACAAAATATACATGAAGAATTAAGTTAAGTAGAGTTAATGATTTAAGAGGGCCTACTGTGAGCTCTCAAAGAGTCTGGACAACATGGAGGCCAGGACTGGCAGATCTGCCATCACAGCCGTGGTTATCACTGTGTTTGAACTGTCTGATATCTGCTGACTAGCTTTCAAGCTTCCTCCCGATGAAGGTTTTAAACCCAATATCCAAACCAAGTGCTGAAAATTAAACGAAAATGATTTGTTTTTGTTTTGTATTTCTACAATTTCCTTTACTTTTAAAACTTATTCATTTTGTAAAGTAAAATCAAAATAAACTTCAAAGAAATTTATAGATATTTTTTGGTTTTAAAAAAAAAACCTAAATCCACCTACTTGTAATGTGGTTAACACAAGATGCCATGCAGTTCCTAGGACTCCGCCATTGCAGTGGGCCACAGATAAAAGTGACCTCATACACTGTATATTCTTAGCAGTTAGCTGGAAATATTAAAGCAATCTCAATTGGCAATTTTCTGTTAATTTCTCATACACCAGTCAAGGAAAGAAAATGCATTTTGAAATATTTCATCTGCCATTGACTCTCCGATCATTTGACATAATGTTGGCCATTTTTCTACCAATTCTTTCAAAATTACTGCTCACCATGACTGGCCCCTGATGAGCCCCAACAGGAAGTGATGCTGTGGGAAGTGGGGTTCCCACGGCAACTACTTGGCTTCGTTGCTCTGACTCTGTTGCTAAAGAAGCCAAATCTTGACTAGAAATTCTCGTGTGATTGCCTACAAAAAATAAGAGTTTTTTAATTTGTAAATCCCAAGACAGTCAGAGTGAATTTGGCTTTTTAATTTCTTTTCTTATACTGAATAAAGCAATATTTGCCTTTAAAACTTTTTTTTTATTTTGAAGATTTCAGAGTTTAACTGATAACAATTCATATACAATACATTTTTGAATGATTAAGTCTTCCTACCCTTTGTTTGGGAGCCAGGACTCTGGGGTGCTGATGTAGTGTTAAGTATTGTCAGGGTATAGTGTGGGGGGAGGGAGGCTTTACATAGAGCCGTGATGAAGGCATCTCTAGGGGTTGCCATTTCCAGCTCCCCACATAACTCAGCAAACATCTTCATGGACTTCAGGACAGATTCTGTGGCACTCTCATCAGTGCTGGCAATGGAAAAAGGGATAACATTCCATTTCATCAAAACCCCAAAACAGAGGTAATAACATTCTCTTTTATCAAATCCATTACTTCAATTATGATTGTCAGAAACAAATCTGATCTCAAACACAGTTACAAATTATCTGCCAAAATTATCATATAAAAGATTTTAAAAAATGAATATTAAACAAACAATATAAGAAAATCTTAAGTATCTTCTGCAGAGATGTTTTAAATGAATTTCTAGCATAAAAGATGACACTAATATTGCCAAAAATGGAGGCATATTAATACAAGTGCATACCCTTACACAACATATCATCTCGATCTTACAGTACAGTTACTTTGATTTGAGACAATGACAAGTTTATATTTACCTGGCATCCAGGAGGAGAGCGAGGGCCGCCAGTAAACCACACCAGGAGGAGTTAATCAACTCCTCATCCAGGCCTCGCTCCTCAACTGTAACCAAGGTCAGAATTAATCAATCAAGTTTTACACTCTTAAAAGTTTAATCTCAGAAATTTTCTCCTATAATATTACATTAAAACATTTACATTTATCTAGTATTTCTGAGATATAGCTGACGTAAATAATATTTTTTTTTATAAAAATTTCAAATAATTTTTCACTATTTAGCGAGATTTAGAAAATAAGGATTTTGTAAGTAATATGATGTACATCGTGTCATGTACATGTAATTTTAGACTTATCATAAGAAAGATAAAACTTAATTCTATCATGCAATGAATGAAATGTCATTATCCTAGTTCAACTGAAATAAAGGTATACAATATATAGGTATTTTGCGGTAAATTCTGAGAAAACAATTTCCTTTAACTATTCCTTCAACAGACTTGCCAACCAATTTAGCAACATACGTAAATCACTTTTTATTCGTGAAATTTTTTATTTTTGTGTAATTACGCGAGTTAGTGTGCTCGCAAAAATTTAATTATCACGAATAAAAGTTACACTGAGATTAAATAGAACAATAACCACAATTTGTGAAAATTTTGTCTCGCTAATCAAAAGTCAATGACTATCTTGCAAAAATGAGGTGTCACAAAAATTTAGTGATCTACAGCAATTAGCGACATAATACTTGATATCGCGCTAACTTAACTTAATGGAACTCTTTCGCGATGGAGGTAGGAAATATCTGTTGGCTGGGGACAAATGTGCTATTGAATACAATGCAAGATCGATCATTGTAGAATTTATAAGGACAGATAAGTAAAAAATCCTGGTGGAATACCTTGCTAAACAATCACTGAACCAGCCTAATTAATTTTTGAGAGGAGCTAATCCTAAAATGTTATATTTTTTACGATATTTTAACTAAGCGGGCTCTTCTCATTAAATTTTAATTGAAAACTGTCGCTTTTTAAAGCTGATAAAATAACCTAAACTTTCCTTATTTGACAATCGACTATTTGGAGTTCAATTCTTGGCAATACATTGTGCTTTCGGCATAATTCTGTTCAAATCATTTGATTGTCACTACTGTAAACAATCCCTTGTGCCCCAGTAATCTTGTGAGATTTGAGCTTTCTCGACTCCTCCGCAAAAGAGCGGTAGTAAGTTAGATAACTGCGAGGTACTCGCGATATTACGTATTACCTGAGATGTCCTTCCTGACCCTGCTTGTTGTTGTCTGGTTCTCGTTTTCTGGTTCCCCGTGGACGAGTATTCGGACACTCTTTACCACCTCCAGCAGACAGTAGAAGGCCAGAGACAATCCGTACCCCTCTGCAATGGGTGGAGGCTCAACCTTGTCCAACATCTCTAAACTGTTAATTACAATACATAAAACTGAAGTACTAAAAAAGAATATATTCTTCTAAATCTTTAGTAAATCGACGATTGGTAGTGGCTTCACTCTGCCCAACATTTCTATACTGTTTGTAACAGGATGTAAACTTTAAATAAATCTATAAATAAATATTGGAAAAGTAAAGAGATATTTTAAAATGAAATCTGTGATATTGTGATGGTTGTTATAGACTGTACTCACTAAGTGGGCCGTGCCTGTCCTGCTGGTACTGTGAATACTATGGGAATCCAGACCCCTCTGTACATGAAGGCAGCCTGAGGGGTGACTCCCCCTCCCACAGGTAGTCCCCCTACCAGGGCTGGCGGGGTACCATGGGTGTCCGGAGTTTTGTTACCTGTTATAAATACCCAGTATTGTGGAAATTCCATACTAAACAACTGTGTCTATAATGAACATCAAGCTGGTTAGTAATGAAAAGTAAGATTAAGATGAATTTATCATCTCCGTGCTTTTACTTCTATCACTTTTTTTTCCAAACTAAATTCCCCTCATTAGTTTAAAAGACTTTCAATTGGTATGTGAAAAAATACACAAATATCGAATGCTTTCAGCGAAGAAAATAAAAGAGATAAAGAATTGATTATACCTTATCATCATTTATGAAAGTTCATTATATTTTGATAATTTACAACAATATTTGTCAATACATAATCTTTTTTATCACAGGTGTGGCATTAGTGGAGTAGCTCACCTGTAGTAGTGGTCCCTGAGGCGGGGTTCATAAACTGGGACTGTATGTACGTCCCCACCCCGTTCACTATGTCTCGGAAAATCTTGGTAGAGTGAAGTTTCATGTCATAACTTTGGGTGAAAGATCTACATGTAAAAGAAAAGTTACATTTATGATGATAGAAGCAAATTTTCATATAAAAAATAAATGTTAACTTTTTTTATTCATAACTTTAACGAACTATGGAATTCTTTAATTTGTGGGGTCAATGTTTGTGGGAAGCAAAATTTTGTTGGTTCAGGGTGATGTACTGTACGCCAACATTTATTCGACTGTGTGATACAAATATCCGCGCATTTGATGATAGTCAATATCATTAATCGTCCTAGATTGAATTCAAACTGAAGAATCACAAATAACAGATGCAGGGCTCGACATTAACGCTTGTCCGTTTGTCCGGTACCAATGAAAAAAAATTACGGACAAGTGAATATTGCTGGGCACTTGTCCGATCGGACAAGTGATTTTTTTGTGTAAAGAAGTCTTCAAATAGTAATAAAAAATAATAAAAAAAACAACTATTGAAAAGTTTGTTGAATAAAACCAGGGACCTATATACTAATAGTATATAGTATATAACCATAGGTCCCTGATAAAACGGAAGCAGTACATAAACCCGAATTTCGATCCCGATTATTTGGCTATGTAAGTTCAAACTTGATCGGGATCGATGTTCACTAATTGCAGCCATACTATTGCATGGCGTGGATCTTACAACGTTCGCGGGTTTGGAATTATTACAGATTCACTTGCGACTATTTATGTTGTCAGGACAAGAAGTCTAGAGAAAATTTTGTTTTATATGTGTTTGTCTTAATTATCAATAACAAGTCAACACTAATAAATCGCGGCTGAAGCATGTTTAATTTTTAATTCAGAGACTAAGTAATTGTTTTCAAGTTGACAGAATAAGATATTCCTTAAAAAGTTTCGGACAAGTGAAGTTGAAATTCGGACAAGTAAATATCTTGGTCACTTGTCCAAATGGACAAGTAGGGAAAAAAGTTAATGTCGAGCCCTGAGATGATGCAAATAATAGTTGGTTTACACTAATTTTGTGGGGAACTCATACGTACAGAAGATTCGATGAATAAATATTATGACAAATTAATTGTTTTGGGGGATATAAACCAAATATTGTTCTCTCTTGTACAACCCTCCTAAGAAATTCTGGCTGCAATCTGAGATTACACCTCTCTTTCCATCCCACTTCTCTCTCTCCATCTCTCTCTCTCTCTGTTATATCTCTCACCTTAGTAATTCTGGTTGCACACTGAGTTTATGAAGCACTTCTAGAGCTAAACATCTCTGCCAGTTTGGTTTCTCTGAATCCAGGAACTTTACCAGTAAGGACAAAAAAATCTCACACTCCGTAACCTGAAGATAAAAAGTACATATTGTTGAGTCAGACAGATACTGTAACGATACCAGACACTCATTCATGTTTGCTGTAAACATGTTTTACTGTATACCGTATAAGTGGAAATTTTAGCGAGACGCAAATTTAGCGATTTGTCATTAAAATTGGGTTTTATTTTTTAAGCAAGAAGTAATAAAAGTGATTTTGATATGCTCACTTAAGAAATTAATACAACTAAAACACAACTAATTTTTAGCGATATTCAATTTTAATTAGCAATCTCGGCACCCTCGCTAATAATGCCAAATTTAATTCCTCGCTAAAAATTCTGCTTATACGGTACACTAATTAATCTATTTCTTACTACAATTAATGTAAAAGTTAAATTTATCTACACGCTCATGTAAAAAAAAAACATAGCAAAAATAATTCATCTCCAATCTCTCACAACCAACACTGAGTAAACATGAAATAAGTTGAAATTCAGAATACCAAACTTTTTTTAAAAATCTATATTTCTTTCAGCAATTTTAATGAAATATACAACTAACTTACCAATATACAGTAGTAATGTTTGATCAATGCACACACAATTCTGAGAAGTCGCATGACAATGGGAAAAAATGGTCTTTCTACTGGGGCTGGGGAGGGAGGTGGGGGCATCCCCTGGCGATACTTCAGGCTGGGGGAGAACAACTTAATGACAAGAGGGCACACCTTCTCCTTCAACTGAAAGCTAAACTCTTGGTGCTACAAAAAAGACATTTTTGAAATATTTTTCACATAATTGAACTTGTAAAATGAATAATCTTACTTTCTTTCATATTTATTGCTTTATAATTTTAATTATGTTTTATAAATGAACTGCTGAACTATTGCTTTACAATTTTAAATATGTTTTATAAATGAACTGGTGAACATTGCTCTAAAATTTCAATTTTAGTCTCAATCTAAGATCTGTTCGACATAGATACTCCTTACGTTACAAGCCTTCAACAACATATCATTTGTAACATTATTTCCAAGTGGATTTTTGAAAAAGAATTCCAAGCAAACATGACTGAGTAATTACTTGTAAAAATATTTGTGGGAACGAGGTGAGAACAGCTTCCAGGAGTTCAAGGCCAAATGTCCGAGTCATCTCTGTCATCCCCATCAACCAGAACGGCTGGTCAGCATTGACCAACTGACAGAGGTCCTGTAAATATAACACCAGTTTATAACTGACAAACAAACTGAAAGAGGTCCTGTAAATGTAAGATCAGTTTATAACAGATACAAAGACAGACAAACAAACATTGACCAACTGACAGAGGTCCTGTAAATATAAAACCAGTTTTATTATTGATACACAGACAGACAAACATTATCCAACTGACAGAGGTCCTGTAAATGTAAGAACAGTTTATAACAGATACACAGACAGACAAACAAACATTGACCAACTGACAGAGGACCTGTAAATGTAAGATCAGTTTATAACAGATACACAGACAGACAAACAAACATTGACCAACTGACAGAGGTCCTGTAAATGTAAGATCAGTTTATAACAGATACACAGACAGACAAACAAACATCCCATATAAAGATACAGTTTTATAGCTAGTGCATTGATATTCTGCTATATACATTAATAGTCACATGATCATCAGTGTCTTGTCCTGGACAAACTTTTCTTTTTGTGAAGAAATGTATGTTTTAGCAGCTTACTTTATTCAACATTATCATTATACCAATGTTAACAAGTGAGATCAAATAACGTTCACTGTATTTCTCTCTGTTGAAACTTTGTCTCCCTGTTGAAACTTTGTCTCCCTGTTTATTGCAGCAGGAGCTGTTTTAAAGACCTAGCTCCAAATCATGAAACATTTCAAACTACCCAAACCCTGTATAGTGTGTGAAAGGGTGTAGAAGTCTAACAGTCCAAAATTAAAAAAAAATGTTCTTCAAGATTGCATTGCCAAGGCATCATAATCTGCAAATTTTTGAGATTCAGTTCAAGGTGAATACTAGTAAACACCTGCAAGATTTTCAAAATTATGAATTAAGTTTAAATCTATTTTATAATTCTGGAGTCTGTTAGGGGTGGGACGATACACAGATCTTGCGATACGATATTTATCTCGATATATTGGCACGATACGATACGTATCTAGATATTTTGATCAATTATAAAACTATTTTTAAAAAAATTTAGTATTTTATTTCATTTCTTGTCTTGTTATTAAATCAAAATCATGAATTATAAAACTATTCAAAAGAATTAGTACTTTATTTCATTTGTTGCCTTGACATTAAATCAACAAATTATTCTATATCAAATCATGAGTGCTTTGAAATTATTACTTGAAGTTCATCAATATCATTCACTAAAACTTTACAAAAACAAAAATACATGTACATATTATTATTACCAAATTACTTTTAAGAAGTTGTTTACCAATAGTTGTGTAGTTCAGCAGAGAACACTGACTAAAATTCATTTAAAAACATCACATTTACATTTTTATTAATTGCTAAAAGTCTGTAGCAAAGCTGAGATTACAAAAAAAATACGAGATGGACAAACAATTAATAATATCAAATGCTCTAGACACGATGCTTTCTGTGTAAAGCACGCATTACATACTGAACTTTTCTTGTCCAATCTTCCGAGGCTGCTTAAAAGTGAAAACGTTTTACCCCTAAACAACGACTTACTAGTCCTAAAGTGTGTTTTCAATAATCAACATCATCTCTTCGCTTCGTACAAGCCGCCATTATCCAAGGACATGTACTTTCATTTTCAATTTTGGATAGGTCGTTCGTGTATCGTTTCGTACCGATATTTGAATGCTTGTATCGTAAACCGTATCTTAGAGGAAAATATCGATATGTATTGGTGTATTGGTATATCGTCCCACCCCTAGAGTCTGTGCACATTTAGTACCCAAACCAGAGCACTATGTAGGTATTGTTTGGTTTACTTTCATGTCTGAAACTAACAAGGCCCTTCAGTGCACTGGTATATTGAGTGGGTTGGGGATCTAATTCACTAACCTGAAACAGAAGGTAGGCATCCCCAGCACATGGTCGTAGGGAGTGGGGCGGGGTTTTGCTGTGGGTTTTCAGCTCCTCTAGATTTACTGCAGATGTCTGTCCTGTTTATAAATCAAGGCACTAAACTGAATACATTATATAAATCAATTTTGGACAACGTTTTTTCAAACCAGCGACAATCCATCTTCTCTTTTTTCCTTAACACTTGTATATTACTTGAATGTACAATTATTCAATTCAGAATACATGTACATGTATAAATATGTCACATGATATATTGATTTAAAACTCAAAGCACTTGTCAGACCTTGAATCGGAACCTTATCCTCTGTAACAACTCGTTCAAACACACAGCTGACTAGATGTTTGATGGTGGCTGCAGCTGTGTTGATAGTTGTGCTGTCCTTCGTGAAGTGTAGACGGAAACATAACACCAAAGCCTAATAGAGAAAAACAATATCAAACTCTATACAAAAAACACAGGTTAACCTAAACCTTGCAAAGTTCATTTCACTACATCTTTTTTGTAATTTTGAATTAAGATTAAGATTATATTGTTTCACAATCTCTTGCCATTTAATATTGCTTAACAAAGAAGATTTTGTTACGACAGACATAAATTTAGTGTGGATCATTTGTCACTATACTGGAGGTGAATATATTCCTTCAAGAACAGAAGTTACAACCATGTATGATTTAAAAAAAACAATTTTTTTTTTTTGCGACATATTTTTTGAAACATGGAACTAATCATACTGAATTCCTAACTGATCAGTGACATTGTACAACATTTTAAGTGAAATACTTGTCAACCATATCATTTTGACTTACTGTAGAAGTACATTTTTCTGTGTGGTATCAATTTATACTATGTAAGTGGTCAAAATTTTCCACGGAAATTTTATCCATCGGATTCAATATACATGTAAGGCATACAGTGAGAATCTAGGAAATACACATAATTTTCTACCCGCAGATAAATAAGAAATGGAGATTCCGCAGAATTATGGCCCCGTGGAAAAAAAGTATGTCTACAGTATTTATTCTTCCAGCATGCTAGAGGACATGATGTATATATGCAGGTTGTACCTTGGCTAGTGAGTCATGCTGTACAACAGAGTTGGTGGTAATCAGGATAATGGCCGTCTGTAGAAGTTTTAACTCTTCTAGTCCAGCTTCCATCAGATTCCATAACATGCCGATTATATTGTCCGCAGCAGTCTGTCAAATAAAACACTCAGTTATGCAACCAACAAATTAACTTTTAACCAATACAGAAATTGTGTTTACTCAAAATGTAACTCTTGATAAGATTTTGTCACAAGATTTCTTTAAAACACAGCTTTCTTTTGACAGTCATAAAATCACTTAAATTATCTCCTTTTCCTTGAGATTTGTATGTTATATACAATGATAATTTTAATTTTCAGCTATTATGGAGCCTTACGACAGAAACAGCTTCATGTGCTATCAGCTTCTGGACTGCGGTCAGACAAAGTTGAACAATTTTCGGATTCTTGGTATCACACCCCATCACAAATGGTTGGATGACTTCCGCACTAGCTGGGACTAAACCTGTCGGTACATAGCACAGAACTTTATTATAGATCAGGGGCCCATTTACAAAAGAACTTACGACTAAGACCAAAAACTTAAGATTATTGTAAAAATTTGCAAAATAAATAATTCTCTTTGAAATTTACTGCGTAAAAATATCTTACCACATTCTTTTCAAGAAGTTCAAAACAATTTTCGATATAATGTTAACCAAAAAGTTATATGAATAATTAAACTTGGTCTTAAGTCGTAAGTCCTTTTGTAAAACGGGCCCCAGTCCTCAAATAATTTACCTCTCAATTTAGAGATTGTTGTATCACATAAAAGAAATCAACCTCAGATGTTATAAATGCAGTGTTAGAATTTGAGACTAAAGCCTTTGATAGTTATTTGTATGATTTGTCAGAGTGCTCTAATAATTACAGGAAATTTTACAGAACCCTACACCTGTCACGATGAAAAACTGATTACTTGGGAGGCAGGATAAATCTAATTAAGTTCAGCATAAGGTGTCCATGCCATCATGGCAAATGATGTCCTTACCTGACATAATATCCTCACTCTTTGTGCATATTGTCCGTAACTTCAGTTGGATTTGCTCTGATGCCTGAAACATTTTGAAATCACAAAATCAGGCGTGGATCCAGGAATTGAAGTTAGAGGGGGTGCCAAAAGTAGGCAAGGGGTCTGTGGGCCACCTTGAGGCCCCAGTGGGTGCAGGGCAAAGCCCTGGTGGGGGCCCAGGGGTCGAAGCCCCCGGAAGCTCCTGGGTTCTAGAGATTTTGTAGGGTAAAAATGAGGTTTTACTTTACCAAGTATACATATTTACATTTTCTAGACGAAACTGTGATTTAATTTACGTTAATTTTGACAATTTTAGGGGGGGTGCGCGCCGGGTGCGCCCCCCCTTAAATCCGCCACTGAAAATGTCATGTAAATACTTTTCTCTCATATACTTTAATAAATATAATTCATTCTCTTGCTTCTTAAAAATAAGTAAACATTAAATGACAAGTGACAATAGACATATTAATCATTTACAAACCAGGGGCTATGTTCAATATCAGTGGCGGATTTAAGGGGGGGGCGCACCCGGCGCGCACCCCCCCCTAAAATTGTCAAAATTAACGTAAATTAAATCACAGTTTCGTCTAGAAAATGTAAATATGTATACTTGGTAGACCTCATTTTTACCATACAAAATCTCTAGAATCCAGGAGCTTCTGGGGGCTTCGCCCCCTAAGCCCCCACCAGGGCTTTGCCCTGGACCCACTGACCCCTTGCCTACATTTGGCGCCCCCTCTAACTTCAATTCCTGGATCCGCGCCTGAATATCATAGTGGCTATGATCGGGTTCTAGAATGTCTGTATTTATTCATACAGTGCATTAAATAAATTTATCATCTAGCCAGGTTGCTACAATCAATTCGAATACCATTATCGATAATTTAATTTCAACTGTACATACCTCCTTGACATGAGGAAATTTCCTCTTCCCCTCAGCTGACAGTGTTCTTAGGTCCCCTTGAAGACCCTCTACAAGCCTTTTGGCAATATTTGGGTCTTTCATTGGAGAAGTCATAATTGACAGAAAAATCTAGAAATATGGTATCTGGGTAGCTTTTTCCGCTAAATTGTCATAACAAATTAAACGGATTTAAATCTGTAACTGAGGAAATGCGAGCTACTTTTTTCCAAAACTTAGTTATAAATCACGATTTATATCAGACATCGTTTGTCTCTTGAAGATTCACTATAGAAAATAATTTCTAGACTGTTTTTGTGTAATTTTTCCAACCTTTTCCTCTCAAAATCTCCAAGTTTACTCATGCAGTTTTCGTGTACAACCTGTCAAATTGCAGGGTACACCACTCTTGTCAATTTCCGGTTGTTGTATTTTCCGGCCTTTAACGTGAAATAAATCCGTATTTGTAAGAAATAAAACTTCTTACCATGCTTACGTCAATAACCACAAGCACTATTGGTTTTTTTAATTAATATTTTTTTTAAATATCGCAGAAATATTGTTCATCTGTCAGTATATCTGTCACTAAAAATTTAACCTTGGTCATAAATTTTGACAAAAAAATTAAAGGTGGTGCCAATATATTTCATATGCACATTATACCTGTGGCAATAATTTATATCTTTCCAAATATGCAATATTTTTTTTACCTTTTGATCTGGACATTGAATTTTGATCCACAGATGTAGAAAATTCGGTCATAACTTTCAAATTAGAATTTAAGATATTTCCATCCTCCTAGGGACATACTAAAGACCTGATATACTAAAGACCTGATGGAAATATTTTTAACTAATATTAGAAAATAATGCGTTGTTTATGATTTTTCAAAATTAATTATTGATTATTAGCCATAATTCAATGATAAAATATATTTTATTTGACAAAAAATGCATAATTTTAAGAAATATTCAATGAAAACGGTGACCTGATAATTTTGATTGACCTGATAATTTTTAAATGACCTGATAATTTTTATATGACCTGATAAATATGGTTTAACTTATATTATAATTGACCAAATTTATTTCATCCAAATAGAAATACTATAATATAAGTATTTTATATCAAATGTCATAAATATTTGTTGCAAATCAAGAAAGGGGCATCATTTTTTTTTTACATATGACCTGATCATTATACTAAAGACCTGATAATTTCATGCCCTGGTAATCTTAAATGACCTGATGATTTTAGAATGTGTGGTATATTTTAATATAACCTTTTATCCTACAATTAGGACATCTTATCAATATCAATTTAATTAAATATATGCAGAATATCACGAATTGATTTTTTACGGCATGACCTGATAATTATACTAATGACCTGATATTTTTTATTAATGACCTGATATTGTAGGATTATCAATATTTTTTTTATAAAATGTAAATAGAAATGCTTTTAGATAAAGATTAGCAGGAAAATATTGAAATTTCTTGATATTTTAATTGACCTAATATTTTAAAGACTGGATTAAGCGAATGACATGATAGTTTTAATTGACCTGATGGTTTCAAGTGACCTGATGGTTTTTAATGACCTGATGATTTTAAGTAATATATTAGTCAATAGAAATGTGCTGCTATGGAGAAGTCTTTATTTACAATAAAATCTTGATACTGTTTTCCCAATAAGAACTCTTAGCCATACATGATATGTAAGTCATTAATTTTTTTTTTTTTTTTTTTTTTTTTTTTTTTTTTTTTTTTTTTTTTTTTTTTTTTTCTTTTTTTTTTTTTTTTTTTTTTTTTTTTTTTTTTTATTTTGTTTTGTTTATTTTTCATTTTATTTTTTCATTGTTGGTTTTTCCGTCATAATTTATTCTTAACTGATTCTTTTAGTAAGGACAGTTAGGTTGAATGTTCGCCACCGTAAGACAGATGAGGCTGCTTACATTTGTACAGTTTTAGTGCCTATGTGGAGTGCATAGCCAATCATCGTCATCTTCTACACCAGCACATGTACGATGTCGCCATACTGCACAGCTGCCAAATGGTGCATCACATCCTATCATCTCCTGCATGAGGTTCGGCAATCTGCATTTACAAATGCAAGGCACATCCAGAATAGTGACTTTCTTCTTGTTTAGCTTTGCCTTTGTCTCTATTCTAGGGAAGGGGGTGAAGTATTCCTTCTCTAGACAATGCAACAAATGAGGTCGCAAATATGGTGCATCGAATTTAAGGAGGTCGCTTCCCTGATAATAGCTATAACAAAAAGTTGTTCTGCACAGCATTTGCAATAGCAAACAAACCACAGTCAACACCATTATTCTGCTGTTGAACTTGTGGCAAACGGACTGTAATTTGATGGTAATCGCTGCCGTACATGCTTGCTAGCTGAATCTGCAGTGATGGTGTGACATTGCCATTTGACATACTGTCGAGAACATATATTTGTCCATCTAACTTCACAGATGCCACCCAATGGAATTTTCCATTGTGGTGGATCTGGACTGCTGGTGACATCACAGATCGATATTTCAACCCATATTTCCAGCTGTTTGCTTCTTCATCCCACACTGGAGTTCTGCCTGTTTCTTGAAATCCATTAATATCCGGAAACTGTCGTTTAAGAATTTCTTGTACGGCATCCATGATGTCAGAGCAAAGCGGTTGTTCTTTTTCTATTCTCTCTTTATGCTCCTGTGTCAGGTTTCCAATCCACTTGCTAGGTTTTGGTTTCTCTACTGGCAATGGCAGTGTTATTTTCCTTTTCTTTGCTGGCAACTTTACGTTCACAGGTGACGATGAAGGTGATTGCAATTTTCTCTTTTTAATTGGCAGATTGGAAGCTATTGTAGATGGACTGCTGATCATTGTTGTTTCATTGGAAGTGAACGAGTTATCCATAATTTCTGCTGGCGACGTGAAACGTAATTTCTTTTTGGATTTTGGAGTTTTCCTTTTGTTTTGTTCTTGAAGAGAGTCTGGTGCAGGTGTCACGGCAATGTCAATGTCGTTTTTTCTAGGCTGCTTCCTGCCGGATTTTCTGTCACTTCTCTTCAAGCTCCTTTTAGATAAACTTCTCAAACTGACTTCCTTGTTGTTGTCCTCCACGGGTAAGCCAACAAACATCCTCACTGCTATGATATGATAACAGCGGGGCATTGATGGACACTGGCATGTCTCGGGATGCAGGGTGACACAATATTTTTTTTCATTGTGGCCCTTAACGATGTAGGCATTGCATTCCGGAACATGTGTCACACCTTTGTTATCTATAACAAACCGTGCCAAAGATTTCTGACTGATGTTTCTATCCTTGGTCTTTGGAGGAGTGTCTGATGTCATAGGTTTTTGCAAAAAATGTTTAATTCAAATTCATACCCAATAGAACAATGGTTTTTTTTTTAAGAATGCATTTCAATAGGTGTTATGATAAATATTGTTAAGTAATATATCTTTAAAAATGTATATTTTCATTATGTAATCAATTATTCAATCATTGAAAAAGTGTGACAAGGGCAATAACTCCTTCTCAGATATCTTCATTCAGAGATTTTCTTTATTGTACTCAGTAAAATAGTTTAATTCCTTGATATTCACATTTCAAAATTATCTTATAAGTATATAGCATTTATTTTGGAACCCTTAGTATCAGAATTATGCATTTGAACCAGTTTTTACATAATATTTACAATTATACTATTTTCAAAACATTTAAGTTTTTTTCATGATGTCATACACTTCAGTTTATTTATGACTCCCGTCTTAAATAATATGGCGACCTATAAATATTTTGTGATAATTGGTAAATTAAAACTATAATAAATGAAAATAAATGCAATTTTTGTACTTTGAACCATTAAAATTGTGAGGGTGTAAAAACCTTAAGCTGTATAGGGATGAACTTTTCAATTTCACAATTATGTACATACTATAGCTAGTATCAATTATTTTGATCCTGCCCGATGCATGCAGTGCTTAGTGTCTGCCTGCTCTAGGGAAAGGAACTGACCTTTACAGGTTGAAATCCACTGTGAAAAATGGAAACCAGTCCTTAATTGGATGAGACCATATAAACCAAGGTCCCATATGTGTAACAGCTAGTAGCTGGCATTTAGGCAAAAAGATCCCTCACTGCTCAATGGCCCTGAGTGCCAAGTATAGGTATAAATTTGTAGCCCTCCTCCGAAGTGGGAGTATAAATAATTTTGAATGAATCCAGTCTTTCATTATAATTAGTCTTGTGCTTTAAATGTATAGTCTTTCAATTCGACTTAAAGCCTCCAAGGCCCATATTGTGTTGCAGGTGATAGTTTTTACCAAAATAATTAACAACCTCCTCCTGAATATAAGAGGGTTCGTTATATATTTCTGTGCAAATCTGTGCCAAAATATTTAAAATAAAATACAATCATAAACACATATACCGGTAAATCTAAAAAAAAAATTCATACAATTAACTTATCTGGAACAACTGGGGGATATTTTGTTTTTATTTCACATAATATATGTATGCATTTTATCAATAACAATTCAGTATTTAGCATTTTATGACCAAAATTAAACATAGATGTGGAGAGAAATGGTGTATAAATCTTTACAAAAAAAAGTATTGCAGTGTCACAAATCGTACAATCACTTTCGGAGTGAATAAAATACATGTAGTTCTGACAAATTTTCTTGAAACATTCACACTACTAATCTCATGCTTATCAGTGTGAAATATGCGAGGAAACATCAGAGATGAATGTACATGTATAACCTCATGTCTTAGCAGAAAACACCTAATTATTAGAATGATAATTGTGGTTAATCTGATAACTTCAAATACATGTCTTCGAAAATATGTGTATCAAATACAATACAGTAACAATTCTTAATAAATTAAGACAGGGTAACATTTTTCCAAAAAGAACAGCAACCCCTGAGCTTTCCTGTCTGTTCTTTACAGTATTTATAATCAAGTTTTCATCAATATAAAAATATAAATACTTGTATGCATGAGTAAATATCCTTCTATTAGAATTATTTACTTTCACAAAACAAGTAAAAAAAATTCTTCCAAAAAATTTAAGTTCCACAGCAGTGATAAATGTATAGGATGATGCACAAATTAAAATACAATATCTTTTTTTCCATCTTGAAGATTTAAAAATATTAAATTACCTAATATTTAATTTTCATTTAAGTGAAAAGGTTTTAAAAATGCATTACATATGCACAAACATGTAAACAATTTTGTTTATTAACCCAAGGTAAATGGGTTTTCTACATTGAAAACATATATATACAAATATATAAAATATATACATTTAGAACTTGAGCATTTCGGGTATTGCACCTTGAGACCATACATAGTGGATTATCACAGCCAATACTGTTATACAAAAGTACTGTAAACCAACTTTTACGGTAATTGGGTGTAAGAAAAATCTGCAAGTTTAGTTTAACCTTAGTTAACTCATGAATACCGGTAGTAATCGCCAGGAACCATTTATTTTTTATTTGAAGAGAATGTTTCCTCAGTCGCAAAAATCAATTGTCATAAATTGATTTCAAACTAATGAATCGCAAATAAATGATGACACAAATAATAGTTGGTCTACAGTATTACATAATGGAATGTAGGTTAACTGCATAGTATATAATTATAATAATATACTAATAAAACAAGGCACTTCTTTAAAGATGAAGGAACACAATTTTTTTTAGAAAGAAAAAATATTTATAGGTCTAATTGTGCAAATAAATTTTAAAAGTTCTCAATAAGTAGTGAAGTTATTTTATAACATTTAATTGCTTGTTTATAAGTTAATTACTTATTCCTTCCAGCTTTAAAACCCACGCCCATCTACAAGGCATTAAATTCCATGCAATAGGAGGAATCTTAATGTCAATTCCCCCTGCGGTCCCCTTATTCCAGTCAAAGTTTCCCTGGTAACCTAGAAGAGATACTACAGTTGCTGTTGTTGTTTGGGGTGCCCCGAGGGTAAAAGTCCCTACTTTGGGCCATTGCAAAAGAACTGCATAAACTGTGTATCCTGTAGAGGACTTCTTCTTTGTGTACCTAAAAAATAAAATAAATCCTTAGAGAAAGTGATTTCTTTTACAGAAGTTTTGTTCAAATTAATCCTGTATATATCAGAAATGTATAAATCATGTTCATTTGTGCAAGGAAAAAAAGAAAGAATATATATCACAGAATGTTCAGACTGAAGACCTCACCCTCTCCCAAACAATGATTGTTAGTCTGAGCAAGCAATTTGAAAATGGGTGATATATGATGAAAAAATCTTTTCAAGATTCAGATTATGGGCTACAGGAAGGTTTTTCAAACATTTTGCATTGGTTCAATAATAAAAGAATTCTTTACATTCTTTAACCTAATTCTCAAAACTCACCAGACATCCTTAGAAACTGTGTCATTCTGGTGTGACCAAGGTCTTGTTCCATAAATAGCATCCCCATTGACACTCAGCCACTCCCCCATCTGTTTCAGCCTCTCCTCCATAATGGGGACAATCTTCCCGTAGCTAGTGGGGCCCACGTTCATCAACATATTCCCCCCGCAGCTGACTGTAGTCACAAAGGTCTTGAGTAGCTGCTCGATAGTCAGGTAGTTACTCAGTGGAGCATTTCTGCGGTAACCCCAGGAGTAACGGTCTATCGTCATGGCATTTTCCCATTTGTGTGTTTGTAATTTTCCTAAAATATTCATTAAAAAGCATGAATAAAATGGGAAAGAAACTAATAGTCAATATTGCATTACATATATTTTACTAGTGTGGAAAATTCAAGTGATATTGATTCTTTTTTTTTAAAATTAAGTAAAATCCATCGTAACAATTTTTCAACCCGGTAATTTTAACTTTGCCTTGTATCTGATAGGTAAATTAATCTCAGTATGATACTCAAGACTTTCTCAAATGTCATAGACATTTATATTGCGCCTGGTACACCTAAATAAACAACTGAATACTGTAAGTCACTTTTTATTCGTGAGAACTTTATTTTCATGTAATAAAACGAGACAGTGTGCTGGTGAAAATTTCATTCTCCCATTTTAATAGTAATCCTTATGATTATATACAGCAATAACCACAATTTGAAAAGTTTTGTCTTGCTTATTAAGAATCAATGACTATCTCTCTAAAATAAGGTGCTGCAAAAATTTAGTGATCTACAGTACTTAGGAGATGCTCAAGGATATAATGACAATATACCTGATGTTGCTGTGACAATTCATTCTATGTTGCTGTGACAATTTACCTGATGTTGACAATTTACATGATGTTGACAATTTGCCCAATGTTGCTATGACAATTTACCTAATGTTGCTATGACAATTTACCTGATGTTGCTGTGACAATTTACCTGATGTTGACAATTTACCTGATGTTGCTATGACAATTTACCTGATGTTGCTGTGACAATTTACCTGATGTTGACAATTTACCTGATGTTGACAATTTACCTGGGTTATACCTGTCAGCGCAGGTGAAGAATCCTCCATGGTGACAGGAAATGTTCTTCCCCCATCTGTCGTTGACCACCACTGTGTCCTTCACTGGGCTGTGTCCAGCATAAAATAAGTCATCAGTCAAAATATGCACATCAGAAAAACAAACCTCTGTATCAAATTTGTGCAATTTATTTCAATGAAACTGAGTACCGGTATATATTAGGTTAGAAAGATCACATATTTCATTCTTACTTATGGCAACATATAAATACCTGTCATTGTAAAGCCAGGCTAAGAATTGCTGTGACGTCCAGTATTCTGCGGGGGCATCCCCGTCTCCATCAGACCAGACGACCTCAGGTTTGTACTTCTGCACAATCTCATAGAGCTCAGGTAATGTCTTAGACTGCAAGGTAAAAAAAATATAAAATCTGTGTCAGTTGCTTCTAGGTATTTCATGGCATTTATTTGAACTCTTATTTACAAATCTTTTTATCCTATAACATTAACTAAATAAAGAATGGAAGCGTACAAGGCGTTGTCAATCCCCCGCTCTGAGACAAGACATTTCTCAATTCTAAAAGTTTATGAAAGCTATAATTTTTTTCCAAATTACTTGATTTATATCATCTTTTACACATTTAATTCTGTATTTCATTGTTTTAATAATTTTTTTTCACTCATGTTTTTAAGATATATGTGAAAACAAAAAGAAAAAGCATCACATATGATTCGAACTCTCTCTATAGCGCAGGGTTTGGCACTGGACCGACCGCATTTTAATTATATTTATTGTGCATCATTGAAGTTTCAAACTTTTGTTTGTTATTGAAATAAAGTTTAAATCCCACAAGAATCAGTTTTACTTTCAGCAAAATTTTTTTTTTCAGTTACTGTAGAAACAAATTTCAGATAGTTTACCAAAAAAATGACCATCTTCTTAGTATGGATATTCTTTGAATGCAATCTCACTACTTAACGACTATGCTACGAAGTATATGCTTTATCGATGTCTGTCAGTGTGATTTAAATGAACGGGTTTGTTGAAGCGTACATTTTTAAGAAAAGTTCGATTTTCATATAGAATGGGTTCAGATTCCATTTTTTAGACAAATGAAATATATTTCACATTTCTATCATTTAAGCGTTAAGGAAAAATGGAGACTTGACCCATTCATGTTCAAAATTCATTTTTTATGGCTCTAGTAAACCCATTTTCCACTAAATATGCCTAACTGTCAACTTTGAAAAATGATTATCAAATGATAAGTCGTTCAGTAAAATAAAACAATAAAATGTTTTGAAGATGACATTACCGAGAACATGATTTTAGAAAAATATATCTTTTTCGTGAATTTTGAAAATTGAGAAAAATTTTGTCTCAGAGCGGGGGATTGTCCACGCCTTATACACCCTCTTTCTTTCATTTAATAAAAGTACAAGGTGAGTAGACCATGAGTAAATGGAAATAAATGAAAAGCAACTTCTGTTAGAACATACATTTACAAACTTCTGAGTTTTGAAGCCATTTGCTTCATCACTTTTATACAGTGGATGAAACCACTCAAACATGGAATGATAGAGTCCAAACTTTAGTGAGTAGTCCCTCACGGCATCTGCCAGCTCACCTGACAACAAAGAAATTACAGAACTACATTGTATATGGAGTAATGGGTAAGATAAGAATTATTACAGAAGCAGTACTTATTCCCTACTAACTACTGTAGATTACCAATACTTTTGGCAACATCACAATATTTTCAAGAGATAATTAATTATACAGCTAAAAAAAAAATTCTGTAAATTTTCTTCCAAAAACTTGGTTAATATTTCTTCAATATGTACTTAAATAATGGTTTCAATATTGAGTGAATTTCCTCATTTTCATATAAAAATACTTCTTCATGTTCTTCAATGTTCTTACACAATATTTTTCTTTTAAGGTCAGACGAGATGTTCCTCAACATCTGTTTTGTATATCTTCGTAATGTATGAAAAATATTCAAAATTTTAATAACATTCTGATTTGTAAACCAGTTTCTAAACATTTTTAAAAAATCCAAACACTTAAAAATTTGAAATTGGAAAATTATTTTTCTTCCCCAAAGGATTATATAAGAAAAACTACCCCTTACTTGCAGAAATGCCTGGTAAGGTACCTCAGTTTTTTGTGAGGAAACATGTTAATGTAGCAATACTTCTATGACAAAATATTGGAAAATATTCTATCTATTATTAATGAACGTCTCGTCTGTCCTTAATTTAAAATGGCAAATTCTATAAGTAAATTGTTTATTTTTTTTAATCTACATAACTGTTCTTACCTACAAGATCTCTGTTCGGGCCTGTATCATTAGCATTCCAATTAAAGGAATAAATAGATGGCCAGTTGGTAAAACCCTCATGGTGTTTACTGGTCAATACAACATATCTATAAGTTCAAAAGAAAAATATTTCAAAAGTCTTTAAAGAATTATATAAATTAAACATGTTTAATAATAATACAGAGATGACATGATACACCTGTACAACAATTCTAAGTTTTAACAGCAGTGCAGATATTACATGTAGCATGAAATTAATAAAATCATTTTACCAAAGAAATTATTAGTGGAATTAAAAAATTTACACATTCTACAAGGGGAAAAAGTACTTTTTTTAAAATTACAAGAGGATTGTCTTAATTAAACCGGATTAAGTCTTAAACTGGGTAATTTATTTTCCCATGGTTGTTTCTATGAATTTAAATAGTGGGTGATAATCGATAGAAAAGTAGAAGGGAATATGGGTGTCCTCTAGCTCCTAATTGGGAGTTGTAGCATGGGGAAACTGCAATATAATATCTAGAACCACTTCCATATTATCTCTGAAGAGTAGACTTTACTTTACCGGTCCCCAGAAATGCAAGATCCTCGCACTCATGGGACTATGACGTAACAACTACGTCACTCAACTGAAATGGGATTTAATCGAGAGATTAGGGTTAGTTCTTGCACTAGTATTCGACTGATTAGAGTTAGCCTCGCATTCATCCGAGAGATTAGGGTTAGTCCTCACACATTATTCAACTGATTAGGGTTAGTTTAGCATCTGCCCAGGAGATTTCGTCAAAATGTCTTAGTCTTTGCATACCATCTGATGGATTAGGATTAGTGACTTGTTCTTTAAATTTAGATAAGTTGAGAAATTCAGTTGTTTCTAAGTATTCAGTTGTTCTGTAATTTTTCCAAGATCATAATTCAGCTTCAAAGGCATTTCGTTTGTTTGTTTACATGGAAGAATGGCTATAAGTCCGAAAGAAATGACACTAAGCATGCGCCGCATGTTCGTTCAGAATTATTCTTTGTCAATTTTTTTCATGAATATTCAATAAACAATATTTATTAATTTTTTTCAGAGAACGAGGTTAAAAACTACATTTAAAAAGGAAGTTTTTATAATGAAGTAGCCTTTGGCGACACTACATTTTAGCGCGTTTTTCTGGGGACCGGTAAAGTAAAGTCGTTCCTCTCTGAATTTCATACACACTGGTTGTTTGCTGTAAAATGGTCTTCATTACAAAGGGAGGGGGGGTGGTTAATTTCATCCAAATTATGTAACTTTTATAAATCCTTGATCTTACTTTGCTCCTGATTCCTTAAAAAGACCTGCCCATTCTACAGGACTAAAGAACTCTGCCCTGAAATCTGGTGCAAAGTCAGCATACGTGAAGTCTGGTGGATAATTCTTCTTCATAAAATCAACTAAGCCTGGGAGTGCTCTTTCTTTCCAATCATACCAGAACCACTCAGACGAGAAACTGGGCACGGAAAACACTCCCCAGTGAATAAAAATTCCAAGCTTCGCATCATCGTACCAGTCTGGGAGGGGCCGCGTGTCCAAGGACTCCCATGTTGGATCGTAATGAGCTGTCAATGATTCGCGTGCAAGAAGCAGGAACACGACCGACAGGGAGCACCATGTCGCCATGTTTAAACAACAGATGGATCACATGATTCTCGTGTCACGTGCTTTTGTTTACAAAATCACGTGTGTCGGGTGTTGGGGAAAAAAAAATGTTTGTTTTAGTGAGTTTAATCGAGTTGGAGGTGTATCTGTGTATGCATGGACTCACATTGTTATTGAATTTTAGTGACAAAATGTCTTGTTTTAATGCATAAAGCAGGGAGACCCAAATGTCACAGCAGACTGCAAAGCGGTTCAAACAGGAAAGGAGCAGTTAAAATGTTTGAAATGAGATAAGAAGAGTATGCCCCCCTCAACAACCTACCCCCTGTTTCAGTTGGTGCGTTTGATGAGCATACGGGATGACGAAGACTCGGGAAAATCGGTAGTTGTCACAAAACACGCCTGGGTTGAGGCAGGAGAGGATAATTTGTTGGCTTTATACACCACAAATGGTAAAAATAGAAATAGGCTTTAATAAACCTACTTCTGTAATTGTTCACATAGGTGTAATGAATTTATTATTTTTTTTCTAAACAAAATTGGAAATGACTTTACCGGTCACCAGAAAAATGGGCTAAAATGTTATGTGTTGCTGAAGGCAACTTCAGTATACATGGTTTAATAAGATAGCGTAAGCGATCAAAAAAAAAATTTATGAAAATACTAGATTTTTTGCATATTTAACCCCCAAATCAACTCCAATGGTTAAATGTTTAACTTACATCTTTGTTTTTAAACCAAGTTCTAAATATATAAGTACAGTGAGGTTGCCGTTATCGAATCACTTAGTAAATTTGCTTGGATATTTCGTAAAAAGTTAAATTCATTTTACAACATTGTTTAGTGGTACTATGTTTTACTTATAACATCATATATATTTCCCCAATAAACACTGATTAAATAACAAATTATCGCTGTACTTGTGTTAACGATGTTTTCTCCTTTACCGGCTCATTTTCTCCATTACCGAATCACGTGACATAAAGCTGATTATTCTGGTTTGGGACTGAGTAAATTTAAAAATACCCTTATTACGTAACGTTTTACTATGCCTTAAAATATTTCAAACCCCGCCCAAAAAATAGAAGAAAAGCTAGGAATTTTTGAGTTGTTTGCATCCGACAATTAATGTAAAAACAGTAGCAATGAAATCATAGGGAAAACAAATGACTATTTGATATGAGAGGAGGTAAAAACTTATATGTGCATGATGAACTGCAAACAACCGAAGAATTAATTTTTGATTCAAAAATTGTACCCATTGAGCTACCACACCCGTCCCCATGATTTTGTCGCTATTTAAATAGAAAATATATCGCTAGATATATGATTGTGCCCCCTCAAAAAAAAAACAACGTCAGATATTACATTTTTATGCATGATTAATTAATTGTCAAGGAATTTTGGTGGTTGATAGTGCCTCCTCAACTGAAAATGTATGGCTCTGCACCCCTCCCCCTACCCACCAACTGAAATTGCTTGATAAGCCTGGACAAGAGATACCTAAAGCAAAGGAACAATTATATTTTCAAAATGTTGAACCCAACACCTAAATTTACTCCAATGAGCAGAGACAACTTTACAAATAATGATCTGGGATTATATCCATTCCAATATCCACAGTTTAAATACCAGTATTCCGATTTATTAAATACAGGTTGTCCTTTCACTTTATATGGGTCTACTTCAACTGTCCATCTTCTCTATAGAAATGACTAAGACAGCTCATTCTCCTCTAGCTGCTTTCATAGTGCCCTTTCTCCCTTTCACGTGAAGACATTGGTGGCACATATTCCATATAGGCAAAAGGCTGCACTCTGCATATAATTTTCTCAATATGTAATTTAAATCATATGTTTACTAACTAGTATATGTTGAAAAAAAAGGGGGGCATCATAATACTATGTTTATAAATTATTTAGCTTGATGTTGAATTGAAAAAGTATTGTTAGCAATATGCATTTTATATTATTGATCATGACAAGAAATAAAAATTTATTATTGGAAATAATTTTGTAGGGAATAGGAAAACTGCAAACGGGGTATTGTTGGAAATAATGATTTAGTAGGGAAGTTTGAATTGCAAAGAGATAAATAAATAAAATTTTCTAAATCTTAATTTTGTTTGGTAATCATGACGATTTTTATTTGGCTATCGTCGATGTCTAACTCTTCACATTAGCTTACATGCACATATACCACTGGGAGACATTCTCGAAACCACATGCTCTGTACTTCTTACTGATTTTGACTGCTGATTTTGTTTATGTGTATTTTAACCACCTTTATTGTTTGTACGCTTTTGGTAGACATCTTCTGGTTTTTTTGTTGTTTTTTTTTGTTTGTTTTTTTGTTTACTGTAACTGGTTTGCAAAAAACCGCATACGAAATATTATAATTTGGACAGCATCCCTGCATCTCATATTTCTTGAAACAGTGATTCGTTATTGGAAACCTAAGTACCCCCAACTTTAAAGCAAATACTATTAATTTCTGATTAAGAAATTGTATGACGCTTTCAGTGCTTTTAGACACATAATTTTATTAAACATCTGCACCAAATTTGTTTACTTAGACTGTACGATTCACATTGGAGCGGTACCGAAAATTGAAAGTAGTCTGCTTGCATATACGCTTCTGGTCAGCGTCACTAAAAAGCTTGTTCATGTTTATTTAGAAATAAGGACATTAAACGAGTTGAATAAAATAATTTCATGATATATGATAAAAGCAAGAATAATTCATCATGACAGGGTATATCAGTATTGGACTTCTAAGAAAAATACAGAATCTTCATCTGAAAGTGATTCGTTAACGGGTGCGATTCGTTATTGGCAACCTCACTGTATTTAACCTCGTCCTTTGTAAAAATTGATAGAAATTGTTTTTTCATTGAAAAAATCATCAAAAAATAATTTTCAAGGAAGCATGTGCATGGGTGCATGCTTAGTGTCATTTAGTTCAAACTTAGCCATTCTCACCGTACACTGATGCTAATTTGCTATCTTTGCTGAGATCCAGATGATCGAGTTGGATCTTTAATTAGCAATTAACAGTTTAATATCCAGCCTTAATTGCCATATCCCATGCATGCAGTATTCTATTTTCTTAAGAGTGTGTTGACAAAATGAAATCTTTCACTTCAGACTGACCAGCATGCAATGCATTGGCTGTGCAGGCACATTTGCTACATGTACAGCTTGGGATTTGGTTTGGATGCATGGTTCTTTTGTAGAGCATTGGTGATCCCATTTTGTTCCTTTTCACTTAGATCTACATGCCTTGATAGTCACAACTTGATAACCTGGCAAGGATGACCCTGCATTAATGCCTCAGTTTTCTTGTTGAAACTTCTCCCTATTTTTTCAGGATACTTTAAAATTATATACTTATTGTTTTACATATCCTATTTTTCAGGTTACCTTTTACTCAGGTATGCATCTTCGGGTAAAGTTCCAGCATACCGACAGCTGGTATGGCCTCAAGAGAAGCCGATCTGTACGATGTGTTTTGACCCCACCGTGTGCTGGCTTCTGGTCGTTACAGAGGATGCCACACTCTTCATTATTCCAGCTCGATCTATTCTGGTGAGGACACTATACATTTATTGACTGAGTTCAAGGGCAACAAGTGTTTGTCGGACCCAAGAAACAAACTGTTTGCCTGCAGCTGTTAGGCCGAAGGCAGACAGTTTGTTTCCAGGGTCGAAACAACGCATTTTGCCTGAGAACACTGCAGTCAATAAATGAATTATACCTTTTATTTCAATATATTTTTCAACACGCATGTATCTTGTACTGTCTTCTGTGATGTAAACCTCAGGTCCATCACTGTTAAACATCAACAAATGCAAATGAGATTAAGCTCCGCCCATTGTGTGACATAAGCGGTCCAACATTTCATCGACAGGTCCAACATATCACTCAGTGGTCAAACATCAATTTTTTGTATGCCCACTCATCAAAACTTTAGAATGATAGACTTTTTCTGTCAAGATTTGTATAAGAGCAAATTTCTAAAGGTATATCAAAGGCCTATATTGATACATGTATTTCTTCAATGTGATGCTTTTTCAGATTAAAATTGGTTATTAAATCTCCTATGTTTTATATATTTATGTAGGACAAGTCGGCTAGGGTCAATCAGATATGGAGCTTAGATGATGTCACAATTACCAAAGTCAAGAAAACCAAAGGTATTTATATAGTCATAAAATATCATCAAGTAACAATGTGCCATGTTGTGTTTTAGCTCACCTAACTTGAAAGGTCAAGTGAACTGTTTATGATCTCAGTTTGTCTGTTGACCATATGTCCCTCTGTCCATCTGTAAACTTTCATATTTTTGACTTCTTATTAAGAAGCACTGGGCCAATTTCATCCAAACTTGCCACAAAGCATCCTTGGGTAAAGGGGATTCAAGTTTGTTTAAAAGATTAACCCTTGAGTTAGGGTGGGCCACGATTCATTTGGGGAACAAAATTTTAATTTTTAGCAAATGACTGGCTTTTACTATGGCTTTAACTGATATTGCCATATATAGTTATTGCAAATTAAGATAATTATTAATAAGCTTGTCTTATATATATTCAATATTTGATTTTGAACTTGTGACTGATCTTTGTAACAACTGATGGTACATTGTATGGTGTCGTAAACTGGCGATAGTAAGTACGTTTACCAACATTAAAATAAGATTCTTTAAAGAGATTGATAAGTTCCATGTCAACATAATTATTTTGCATGTTGACATAAATAAATCGCATGTCTATACAGTTATGTTGCATGTTAACATAATTTATCTTATTTCCCCTACCATTAGTGATAATTTTAACTATGCAACCCATTTAATATGTAGATGATAAAATCTCCCCCCCCCCCCTCTCCCAAGTAAAAAAAATTGTGGGCCTTACCATTAAATTGAATTTGAATTTTTTAATCATTTTCAGGTCTTCCCTCGGTTGTAACTTGGTGGCACACGTTGGATGATCAACAAATAGCTATAATTGGAACAAGGGTATATTATGTTTTTTTAGTCACTTGAGTCACTCCGTTGACCCATTTTTATCTGTCATACATGTAACTTATTAACATAATCAGCATTTTCTCAACAAGTCATTTTGTTCAGTTGGGAGCCAATTTTAATCAAACAATATAATTTCATTTTTGGCCTTTGCTATCACCAGCAGTTCATTATTTATGTTAAAAACTGACAGTGTTATTTGCATTCAGACAAATATTTGTAGAGTGGGGAGATAGTAATAGTCGACTTGGTCAAGCGGTGCATTGTGAATGAGCTAGAAGTGGATGCCAGCATTGCTAACTTTGATCTCATTCAAGATGACAATCAGATGTCCACCTACCTTCTGGTAACTCTTAGTGATATATGTACAGTCAAACTTGTTTAATCTAGATGTTGTGTATTCCAAAATGACTAATCCAGATGCAAATTTTCAGCTCCTTTAAGTAGTATCAATTGTTCTAAATCCTGTCTTATCCAGAATGTTTCCTAATCTAAACAAATTTTCTGGAGTCAGTGGTGTCCAGGTAAGGCAAGAGTAACTGTACTGATCTTGTGGAACTTTTCTTGTAGATAACTGGAAAAGCAGGAATTCAGTGGAAACTTCTGCTGGAATCCAGGACATCAGATGTGGTCAAGTTTGACCTTGAAGTGTCTGACCTTGGATATGACCAGATTGATGGCCGACATTTACCTGTCATTAGTATAACTGCAGTCACAGGTAAGGGCATATACCTGTAATTAGTATAAAACAGGTAAAGGAAATAATTCATTTAAGAAGGACTGAAAATGGTAAAACTCTTAGAAGGAAAACAGTGATGTAGTTAACTTTCACTCTTTTGCATGTGGTTACTCTTAGAAATTTAACGGGTTGACATTTTCCATTTTTGAGAAATTGTAACTACATGTAAAGAATTTAGCGTTTATTTCACACACAGGGTAGGTTTATATAAAATTGATAGATTTAATTAATAATTAATTAAAACAAGTGCAGTTATTAAAATAATTTTTCCTATAAGCTATTTTCATGTGCACCCAAGAGACCATACAACACGGCGAAAAACCACTCGGAAGTAAATGTGTTTATTAAGTTCGCCGAAATCAGTGACATCTTGTAAGTTCGATATTTATTTGAATGATTTTTTAAAACCAAAATGTTGATAAAAAATAATATGCATGATAATGACAACAAATACACGTGGTAAAATTATCAGGTCAGCAAAACCCATGGCCCACGTGTTTTGATTGATCAAACATGTAGCGTTGGCTATTAAAACAGCTTTTAAAAAAAATTTCATTCATAAAGTAAAGCGGATAATTAAAATAAATGAATCATTAGTTTGGGTCTTTTAAAACAATTTAATTATTTTGAAATACACGTAGTTACATATTATTTGTACATGTTTAACTCACTTATTGTTTTGTTCATTCAGGTTTTTGACAGCAACATAGAGCACTCTCCATTATTTGTGTACAAATTACCACTGAGAAATTGTGCTTAAGAATTTAGATATCACACATCATTCTCAGTGATAATTTTTACTTTATTTTACACAACAAACACATCTTTATGCCTCTTAGATTCTATCAGTTCCAGAGGTCAGTGACCTTGAGTCCACAGAATGCTAAAGGCTCAGTGATAGCCAATCAAAAACAAAACTTCAACTATCAGGAGCATACCTAAGGTTTTACACAATTATTATTATTGTGGTAAAATTTTTTAATATAATAGTTATATTAGTTTGGGTCTTTTAAAACAATTTAATTATTTTGCTAGTTACATATTATTTGTACAAACTCACTTATTGTTTTGTATAAGGTTTTTAGAAATAAAAATTTGTGTACAAAAATGTCTACAGCAATTCTCAGTGATAAGACTATCTACACGGATATACCCGAATTTGAAAAAAACGGTTATAGCGAAGTTATTTTGGATCCAAAGGTTTTACAAATTTAACGTATTTCTTATAAATATAACGAATATACGGATATAAAGTATAATTCATCATTTCTTTCTTTGCTAAAAAAAAAAAGATGTATAAAGTAGAAATAAAAATGAAAAATGTCTATTGAATATTGTGTAACTGTGAAGACAGCTTGTAAATTTTATTGTCAGATTCACTAAATTACAAGTAGGAAGATCTCACAAAAGCCTCTTATTCTTTATTCTGTATGTCCTGCAGGAGTTCAACAAGGAGGCTATCCTACAGCACTTTGATTTACCTGTGGATGAGAAACTGTTAACGGTGGTAAAGAAATCCTTCCCGTTCTACTGGCACGACAAGCAGGAGGAGAACCTCCGACAGCAGATGATGAAGAACAAGGAGACAGGAATGTGGGACCCGACGGACGACAGAATTCTGGGGACGTACGGGGGCGCGTATCGGTCATTCGAGATTCATATTAACGGCCACACGGTACTGAACGGTTGTCTGGTCATCACAGACTCCGCTGTGTATGAATTAAGACCAAGGTTTGTGATTCAAGGCTTCAGATAACTATATCTTGTCACTTCTGTAGTAGGAAAGGAGAAGTATTTTGTGTAAATTAGTCAATTAAGGCAACAAGATGCTAAAAAATAAGAGAGATAAAAAGAGGAAATGACATTAAGAACACTATTTATACAAATATTTGTATATATTATATGAATAAACATCTTTTTACTACTTCACAGTTCTCATATACATAATAAAATACCTGATGTAAAATGGAGGCTTATCCACAAAAGAAAATCAAAATTTAATTTTCTTATCTTGAAACAGGATTTCTGCAGAACGTCTTTTTCTTGACCTGGCCCTTGGTAAATCGGATGCCAGCATTACGGATAATTTAGGGATAGCTTTGGGTCTGGATATTAATACTCTGTACGAGTTGTCAGCCGAAAACTGTGTACAAAACCAGAGTTATGAAAGAGCCATTAAACTGTTCAAAATTGCCAAGGTAAGGGAGATAACTCTGTAAAAATGAACTATTTTTGTTTACAATGGACAATTTTTAAAGGCTTTATTTTAAAAATTCCGATCTTATTCAAATGATTTATTTTTTACTAGCATATTCTTGATAGCATGACACACCTCTGATTTTTACAAATAACTAGATATATCTTGAAATATTGACAATTAAAGTAAATACAGCACAATATTTGAATAAGCATAAAAAAATGACCAACAATTCATATTGAGCAAAAGTAAATATTTTAGTTCTCTTACCATAAGGAAGAATTAACTTTTTATCTGAATTCACCTTAACATTCTTGTGAGTTGATGAAGTTCAAACCACTTTTTCTTTATGTATTATAAATCCAAAAAAATGGAGAGTCCCAAAATACATGTTTCTCAAAGTTTTTCCTCGACCCACATGTAGTTTGAGATAACTGAAGTAAAGGGTGTTAAGAAAGTTCATTCCACATTTTCCTTTTATTTTCGAAAAGAAATACGATGAGAAGATATTTAAAATTTGTAATATTTCATATTTACAGACTTCATTCTTGCTACTGATTCAGTTTTAACTGTCACTTTTTTTGAATCAATAAAGGGGGGGATATTAAAACAGATGATGTCTGTTCAGAAAAAAATAGGCCTGACGTATATTTGTGACATATTTTAAGCACACGGGTTAAAACATCCTTTCGAATACTATTCAAAAATTATCAAGTCAGTAGAAAAAGAATTCAACATGACAAGCCTATTTTTTGAAAAGTGATCTATCGTTCTTACAGTGTATCTATGCTCATCAGCTTGTGTGATGCAAGATAAGAAATGAAAAAACAAAAGTAATTTATCCTTTATTTTCACTCAAAATGACGAGCATTTCTATCATTAGAGTGCTTTAAAAATGTGACATATATTTTCAGTTTCACAAGAGTGTAACTTAGATTTATAGCTGCAATTCATTTGTAGCAGGAAGTTATAAATCTAAGTTACACTCTTGTGATTTTGTCTGACTTGAAAATTCATCTCTTTAGTTAAGCACTACTTTGAAATTTTTGAAAATACTTCATCATGGAACGAACTTTCTTAACACCCCTTAGCTTTAAGTTTAACTGTAATGCGTTAGAACACACTGTAATTAAATTTCAATTCTAGTCTCTGTTTATATTAACATTATTTCTTCAAGAACATATTTAAAAATTTCAATATCTCTTTTATAATAAAAAAAAAAATTCACAATTCTTTCTTTTAGTCTTCTTACATGAAGCGGGTATCATGCTTTGCCAAGCATCGTCGTGTACAGGAAGTGATGTCACACCTACGACAGGCGCTGGGGGATCACTCCTCTGATGTGACGACAGTAGAAAAGAAACAGCTGTCTAACATGGCCATGTACTGCTATGTCTACCTCCTAAAGCAAGGAAGTGGTGAAGAACACACCAAAAGGACATTTGTGTAATTGACATACACGTAGATTTAGGCCATCTTAAAAAAAATGGTTTGGTTGCTCTCTCCTGATCACCTTACGAAAAATGGCTCAACTCAAAACTTTCTTTTTAAAATTCCAGGAAACGATAATTTTTAGCTCACCTGAGCCGAACGCTCAAGTGAGCTTTTCTGATCAAAATTTGTCCGTTGTCTGTCGTCGTTGTTGTCGTCGTAGTCGTTGTCGTTGTTGTAAACTTTTCACATTTTCATCTTCTTCTCAAGAACCGCTGGACCAATTTCAACCAAACTTGCTACAAAGTATCCTTGGGTAAAGAAGATTCAAGTTTGTTCAAGTGAAGGGCCACGCCATCTTCCAAGGGGAGATAAATACGAATTAGTGAAAAATTAATGGCATTTTTAAAAAATCTTCTTCTCAAGAACCACTGTGCCAGAAAAGATGAAACTTATGGGGAAGCATCCTCAGGTAGTGTAGATTCAAGTTTGTTCACATCATGACCCCTGGGGGTAGGGCGGGGCCACAATGGCCGATCAAAGTTTTACATAGAAATAGATAGGAAAATTCTCTAAAAATCTTCTTCACAAGAATAGCAAAGGCTTGAATGATCATATTTATATGGAAGCATTCTTAGTTAGTGTAGATTCAAGTTTGTTCAAATCATGACCCCTGGGGGTAGAGTGGGGCCACAATGGTCGATCAAAGTTTTACATAAAAATATATAGGGAATTCTTTAAAAACTTCTTCACAAGAATAGCAAAGCCATGATTAGTCATATTCATATGGAAGCATTATCAGGTAGTGTAGATTCAATTTTGTTCAAGTCATGATCCCTGGGGGTAGGGTGGGGCCACAATGGCCGATCAAAGTTTTACATAGAAATAGATAGGAAAATTCTCTAAAAATCTTCTTCACAAGAATAGCAAAGGCATGAATGATCATATTTATATGGAAGCATTCTTAGTTAGTGTAGATTCAAGTTTGTTCAAATCATGACCCCTGGGGGTAGAGCGGGGCCACAATGGTCGATCAAAGTTTTACATAAAAATATATAGGAAATTCTTTAAAAACTTCTTCACAAGAATAGCAAAGCCATGATTAGTCATATTCATATGGAAGCATTATCAGGTAGTGTAGATTCAATTTTGTTCAAGTCATGACCCCAGGGGATAGGGTGTGGCCACAGTGTAAGTTCAAATATAAAGGTCAATAAAGCCACAGGTAGTCAAAGAAATATGCAAGCATCCTTAGTTAGTGGAGATTCAAGTTTGTTCAAATCATACCCTTTCCATTTTAAGGATAGGTTGGGACCACTATTGGGTTTAAACTTTTCAATAATAAACTGATTTATGCTTTTTTAGCTCACCTGAGCCGAAGGCTCAAGTGAGCTTTTCTGATCACATTTTGTCCGTCGTCCGTCTGTCTGTCCGTCTGTAAACTTTTCACATTTTCGACTTCTTCTCAAGAACCACTGGGCCACTTTTGACCAAACTTGGTACAAAGCATCCTTGGGTGAAGGGGAATTCAAATTGTTAAAATAAAGGGCCAAGTTCCCTCACAAGGGGAGATAATCAAGAAAAGACAAAAATAGGGTGGGGTCATTAAAAAATCTTCTTCTCAAGAACCACTGGGCCAGAAAAGCTGAAACTTATGTGGAAGCATCCTGGGGTAGTGTAGATTCTAAATTGTTCAAATCATGACCCCCGAGGGAAGGGCCGGGCCACAATGGGGAATCAATGTTTTACATAGAAATTTATAGGTAAAATCTTTGAAAATCTTCTTCTCAAGAACCACTGGGCCAGAAAAGCTGAAACTTATGTGGAAGCATCCTGGGGTAGTGTAGATTCTAAATTGTTCAAATCATGCCTAGCCACATTGCTCAGGTGAGCGAAATGGCCCATGGGCCTCTTGTTTTCTTTTTATTCCTTTTATTCCATCAACAAATATGTTTAAATTTTTTGGAAAAAAGAATTTTCCATCTAACCAACCCATTAATTTTACCCTGAGTTGGGAGAGGGTAAGCAAACATTATTTTAAAGATGTCCATGGCAAAAATAACATATGTTAATTACTGTGGAATCATCAAAATTCATGAAGGAAAATTTCCATGGTTTTCCAAATTTCCAGGGTTTGTTGGGATGTAATTTCTTTATTCTTTTTAATGTACAAAAGGAAATAAAAGAAATATGACTTTGATAATCTAGATAGGTATATTAATTCCTGGAGGATGTACAAATATCGAGCCACCACGAAATCTAATGATTCCACAGTAATTTACTAAATATTTTAGTAAATATTTTCGAAGCTACATAGAAAAAAGTAAAGTAAGTACGCTGAGCAATTTAGTGAAAATATATTGAGTATCCTTGAGAAAATATATGCAGATAGTTTTCATCTGTTATAGTTATTTCATTAATTTTTCACTTTCAGGGAGTTTTTAAACAGCAACTTTTTCTATGATGAACAAATGACCCTCAGTTTATTGGCAGAGAACAATCTGATGGATGTCTTACTAGAGATGTCCAAGGTAATAAATTAAACCTTCATGGGTAATTGATACACCTTTTAAGGTAATTGATACACCTTTTAAGATAATTGATAAACCCTTAAAGGTAATTGACATGCGCATGCGTCAGGTACAGGTACAGGTGGGAAATGATAGAGGTCCAAACATTTATGAATTTTAACTTATATGCGAATTCTCAGCATGGAAAATGTTGTGTGCCGTTTATCTAATGTTACCCTGCTGCAAATAGAATGAGTTTTGTATCACCGGCGAAACCACCAAAAAAGAAGAAACGAACGAAATCAAAAAAGGGGGGACAGGAAGACAACATGGCGACCAATATGCCGGGACCACCTAGCCAATCGCAAATCACGCCGAGTATGTCTAACATGTGTTCGAACACCGTTCCAATGCAATACTCATCCATTCCTTCACCGTCTATGCAACCACCGCAAGGCTTTGTAAGTATGAACCCTACTCAAATGCATGTACAGCCTAATTTTCAATCGAACATTCAATCGAACATTCCTGTTACGAGTTCAGGTGTACCGCCACAATGGGCAATGGAAATCTTCAGTAGACTAGACGGAATCTCACGTCGTTTAGAAAAGCTAGACTCAATTGAAAGTTCTTTAATTACTATGCAAAACCAGGTTAAGTCACTTACTTCTAGAGTTTCCGAAGTCGAAAAAAGTCAAGAGTTCATAACTAAAACAGTTGATGACAGTGACAAAAATACCAGGAAAGCCCTTAGTGAGATAAACAATCTAAAAATAGCACTTGATGACTCAATGTATGCGAACTCTCTCATGAAAGAAGAAATACTGGACTTACAATGTCGCTCCATGAGAGATAACCTATTGTTCTATAATATCAAGGAACCCTCTGGCGATGAAACCGAAGATTGTGTTAGCATTATTCAAGACATTTGTAGTTCCGTATTGGAAATCGAGGGAAAAGTCGACATCGAGAGGGCGCACAGAATCGGAAGAAAGGTTACTGGTAAGATACGGCCTGTTGTTGTAAAATTTACAAGATTTCCACAGAAAGAACTAGTCCGTAAAAATGCATTCAAATTGAAAGAATCAGAATTATCAATTTCGGAGCAGTTCCCCAAAGAAATTCAAGAAAGAAGAAAAAAACTACTACCCGTGTTAAAAAAAGCAAAGGATGACAAAAAGAAGGCATCTTTGGTGAAGGACAAGCTTTACATTGAGGGGAAGCTCTACCGACAGGATCAAGCGATGGACATAGCAGAACACAGGGGACCACAGCGAAGTTAGGGGTGTCCGGAGAATGATCATCCCCTAAAGATAATCGGATGGAACATTAATGGTGGTTTTGAAAATAAATGGAATTCCCTAAAACATTTTTTATGTACATATGATATTATATGTTTATCCGAATGTTGGTTACATAAAGATTTTTCTTTGGATGTGGAAGATTTTCACACATATGTCTTTCCACGAGATTCAAGAACTATTCAAGGAGGGGGGACAGTTATTTTGATAAGAGATACATTTGTGCCATATGTCTCAATAGTTGATTCCTTATATGATGCTATAATTTGGTTCAAAATTGATAAATCCCTGTGTGATCACAACAATGATATTTATTGCGCATTTACATACTTACCTCCTATTAATTCTACTTTTTTGAAATGCAACAATTGTGATATATTTAATGAATTAGAAAATTTTTTGTGTAGTTTCCAAGATCTGGGTGATGTTTTTATCTTTGGAGATCTAAATAGTAGGACACGATCACTGCCAGACTTTATAGAAGATGATATACTTCATGAGGACGTTTTGGATAATTTATTTACCTACACAGCTGATAGTCAGTTACCTGTTAGAGTGAACCCTGACACCGGTCAGAATGAATACGGAACAAGACTATTGTCGTTATGTAAGACCACGGGACTCCGTATTGTCAATGGAAGACACAAAGGCGGTCACGCAAATGATTTCACCTTCAATGGGACACGTGGACTCAGTACAATCGATTATCTGCTATCTCCTGTACATATGTTTGATCTCTTTGTTAAATTCATTGTGTGTAATTTTAATGCTTTTTCTGATCATGCACCGCTGCACATAGAATTGCGCATTAAGATGAAAGATCACCAAAACCGAAGTCCAGCCGATTCACATCAATACACCCAACGGAAACGTTCACACTGGAATGCGGAAGCGCTCGAATCGTGCAAGGAGTCCATTCTGTTAAATCAACACAAATTTGAAGACTGTTTCAACATTGATAATATATGTGTACAATCTGATATGGACTCATGTATAGTATTTATCACTAGGATTGGTGACCAACATTGTGTAATTTCACATTAGTCAATGCATTATGACGTCATAAAATGCGTCATTTTTCTCAAATCCAGTAAATTCCTTTGAAAATGACCTAAAGTTGAAGCGTTTTTTCAATAATTCATATAGAGCACAACCTCTGATCCAAAATATGCCAATACATAATGAAAGGACTATATCTGAAGATCAAAAAACATGTTTTATTTTTTGGATCGTGGGCTGTGCTCATATTTTTATTCCTTGCGGAAGGTAGTAAAATACGCATATTTTTTGCAAATTTAAGAACATTGCAATTTCTCAAAAACCCAGTGACTGTGAAGTAAATCCATTCTTTACATCCAATAATAATAAACCCAGTGACTGTAGATCAAAAATAAACAAACAAAAGCAAGTCCACAACCTTTATCTATCCACAAGCGATAAACCTTGGTTTGATAAGAAATTAAAATTATTGTATAAAGATTATATTGTAGCGTTGCGTAAATTTAATTTTTGTAAAAGTAATGTGAACCACAGCGAATTAACCCAGAAAAAGCGTGCATATAAAATTTCTGAGGCCAAATGTAAAAGAGAATACTTATTATATGAAGGTCAAAGGCAAGAGATTTTAAAGAAGAATAACCCCAAGCAATTTTTCGCAAAATTTAAACGAAAATCCAACTTAAAATCTAATGTTCCATTATATAAGTTTTTTGAACATTTTAAATCAATTTCAAGTAACTTGAATGACGGTAATACAATTTCCAGTGAGATTGACGATTGTATTTTTGAAGAATTGGATAAAGATATAGATATCAATGAAATTGAAACTGCTATCAAAAATTTAAAAAGAGGCAAATCTCATGGTGAAGATTGTATACTCAACGAATATTTTATTGAATTTGAAGAATATTTTTTGCCAATTTTGCATAAACTTTTTAATTGTATTTTGCATACAGGTTTTTTCCCAGAATGTTGGTCAACTTCTGTTATTGTGCCTGTTTTTAAAAAGGGAGATAATTCTGATCCTAATAATTATAGAGGAATAAGTTTGGTCAGTAATCTATGTAAACTTTTTACATCTGTTTTAAACAATAGACTTGTTTCGTGGTCAGAATGTAATAATATTGTTACTGATGCTCAGTTTGGTTTTAAACCAAAATGTGGAACCAGTGATGCCATTTTTGCTCTGTATTCTTTAATCACTACCTCTTTATCAAAGAATAAAAGACTTTATTGTGCTTTTATTGATTTTAAAAAAGCTTTCGATTCTGTTGATCGATCCAAACTTTGGTTGAAACTGTCCAAAATTGGTATTCAAGGCAAGCTTTTACGTGTCTTAAAAGGATTGTATAAAAATGTTAAAGCATGTGTAACTTCTGAAGGTTTATTGAGTGACATATTTAGTAGCAATCTCGGTTTAATGCAAGGCGTAGTACTTTCACCCATTTTATTCAACATGTATGTAAATGACTTTGAAATGCACTTTTTAAATAATGGATGTGTACCATATGAAATTTCATCACTGAACCTTTTTCTCCTTATGTATGCAGACGATATGGTGCTCTTTTCTGAAACAGTTTCTGGTCTGCAATCACTGTTAGATCAACTATCAAGCTATTGTGAAACATGGAAATTACAAATTAATGTGGACAAATCAAAGATTGTTGTTTTTAGAAAAGGGGGAATAGTAAAAGAACTTGAAAAGTGGTATATTAATGGTGAAAAACTTGAAATTGTTGATCATTTTACATACTTGGGCATTATTTTTAATTATAATAATAAGTTTTCTCGAGCTGAGAAACATCTAGCTGAACAAGGTAGAAAAGCTTTATTTGTTCTTAAAAAGAATATTAGAAACATGTATTTTAATCATGAGACATTATTGTCATTGTTTGATTGCTTTGTGGGCAGTATCTTAAATTATGCGTCAGAAATTTGGGGTTCACTTAAATCACCTAATATTGAAAAACTACATCTTGATTTTTGCAAACATATTTTAGGTGTTAAAAGGACAACATGTAATGTAACTGTATATTCTGAATTAGGACGATATCCTCTGCTTTACCACAGAATGTATAATATAATTAAGTTTTGGAAGAAAATTCTTGATCAAAAAAATTGTATCATCCAACATTGTTACAGTGTTTTACATGAGTGTGTAGAAATGCATAATGCAAAAAACTGGTTGTCAAATGTTAAAAGCATTTTATGCAATTTGGGTATGTTTGAATTATGGGAAAAACAAAAAGTTGAATGTGTGGACCTTCCTATCGTAAAGCAAAGAATTTTTGACCAGGCAAGACAGAATATTTTTTCTAAAATTGATAGCTCTAGTAAGTGTTCTTTTTACAGATATTTAATTGCAAATCATAATCTACAATTTTACTTACGGAAACCCATCCCAATAAAATATCAAAAATGTATTTCTAAATTGAGACTGTCATCACACCAATTGGCAATTGAAACAGGTCGATATAGTAATACAGAAAGACACTGTAGATATTGTTTTTTGTGTTCAAATTATGTTGAGGATGAATTTCATTTTATTTTAATATGTCCCGCTTATGAAATTCACCGTAAAAAATACTTAAAGTCTTATTATTGGAAAAAACCTTCAATGTTTAAATTATTGCAACTTTTTAATGTTGAAAATGTTAAAGAACTATGCAATTTAGGAAAATTTATCTACTTTAGCCTAAAAACTAGAAAAGACATGTTAAATTAATCATTTATGTCATATATATACAATTGTTTCATATGTACATAATAATCATATTCTCCTGTAAACCTGTGCAGTCATGTTTGTATTTGTTTGTACTGATGAGCTATAATGCTCAAGGTCAATAAAGAACTTGAACTTGAACTTGACACACCTTCATAGGTAATTGATACACCTTTTAAGATAATTGATAAACCTTTTAAGGTAATTGATACCCCTTTTTAAGGTTATTGATACACCTTTTAAGATAATAAGGTGATTGATAAACCTTGAATAAGTTTACAGTTTTCAAAATGCATTCGCTGCAAAATGTATGCACTATAGAAATATTTCAGTTGCCATTACTGAATAACAGTCTTTTCATGGCTTTGTCTATACTGTAGATCATGTAGAAATATATTGAAACAAATTTGTTTATAGACATGATTTACAACAACATAATTGTTGGCCCAATGTTAATTTAAAATACTCTTATTAAACTTCAGTAACAGACCTGAATACAGACCATAAAAGCTTTTATGTTTCAGACCAGGGTTTAGTGATAAAAGTTTTGAGTCTTCTGAATATTGTAGTAATAGAATAACTTTATGTGTTTCAGTCCAGGGGTCTAGTGATGGAAGCTTTGAATCTTCTGGCTGAGAACAAGCAATTTGTGATACCCTCAGACATGATTTCAGGGCTGGTGTCCAAAGGTTTTTCCAATCATCTCATCCAGGCATCTAAAGGTAGGCTATAGTTACTTAGTAGGATTGTTATAGACTGTTTACAGAAATATATCAGGTCAAGTTTAAACAAACTTCTAAAGAGTCCGGCATTTCAATCCAAGAAAAAATAAAAAAAGGTTTACCAGCTATTTTAATTAATGAAGGGTTTTAAAGGTAGCCCATAAAGTTATACAATCACTTCATATAGGCTCTGAAAGATAGATTAGAAACATTAGTCACCTCATTCAGAAAGTTGCACTATGATGTCTTAGAAAGTTGCACTATGTCTTAGAAAGTTGCACTATGTCTAATTATTTTATCCAAGTCTCTAAAGATAGGCCACAAATGTTCATCATCTCATTATTCTAAAAGGTTCCCCCATCAAATTATTTGGTTTTTCAAAAGTAGGTTGTTTCACCAATCTGTTCATCCATGCTTCCAGAGAGAACATCAAAAAGTGTTCCACTCCTTATATAATGTCCATAGACACATCCAACAGTGGGGCTGGAATGATGTATCAAGATATCGATACCGGTAATATCGATACTTTGTGAAGATTATATGCGTATCGATACATATGAAGAAATATCGCAAAAAAATTCTGACTGCTGTTTTTCTTTGTTTATTTAACATTTGGGGTTTAATATATAAAATAAATAAGCTAAATATAAATATAGATATTATGAAATAAATAATAATTAACACCACTTGAGTAAAATATTTTTGTTTTACAACATATAAACAACTATGTTGAATAAATTATTTTTATTTGCAAAGAAATGTTTTGTTTATTTTAATGCAAAAAAGATTTTATAACCAATTAAACATATCATGATACATATCGTATCGTGGCTCAAATATCGTAAAACGTATTGATATAGAAAAAGTTGTATTGTCCCAGCCCTGTCCAACAGCTATAATAAAGTATCCCACCAATTTTAATTTATGAGCAAATGACCTTGACATAGTACATAAGCTTCCACAGATTTTATATTTCTATTGTATTATTTAAAACACTCAGAATAAAACCGCTGGCACTGTGTGCTTAAATTTAGCTTAAAAGTTTGTCCATGAACATTGTGATCCTCACAAAATCAAATTGTTTCCACAGTATTTTTTCTGTAACAGGTGTTTTCCTGGAGTTTATGCCCCCCGCGTCACTGGTGGACCTACTGTGTAATAAGCCAGACCTGGCCCTCCCTAATTACCCCCTCCTTCAGGCCGTCCTACCAGAACTAGACGTCCCTCACCTGGAGACCCTGGCTCAGGTGTTTGACCCCTCACGGAATCCCCTCAGGAACCATCTGTGTAGACACCTGGGCTCCAGGCACAGGTAAAAAAGACACCTGAATGGAATTCTTATATTATTTCATGCTTTATTCTTTTGTAAGGAATTTAATTCCAAATCCCTAAAATGTGAATACTGGTATAGTAAGTTTAGTTTTAATAAAAAAATTTTAAAAGAGTGTCAGTTATTATTTAATTGTTGACCAATGAGGTGATTTTCAACTCTATAAGGATTTCAGTAGTTGCGGTGTTGAGACATTTTCTACCATTTATATTCCAGGACGGCCAGTATTAGCTCTGTGTCCAGTGACGGAGAACCAGGAGGAATGGTAAGGTTTACACACACTGCTTTGTTAAAGGAATCTCATATTAGAGTATTCAAAACTCTCTCACTTTTCTTTTTTGTTTCATCATTAAATACTTCTTTTTTTATAAAATTAATTTTATAATTTTTATCATAATATTTAAATTTAAAAAAAAACATTTCAAGGAACATTTAAAAATAGGTTGTTTATTTGATCTGAAGGGAGTATTTCACTTCAAAGGTGTGTGGTAGAATGAAGATATTGATGTGGTTTGTAGGATGTTTTGTTTTGATGGATCTTGAAACTGTTATGTTTTTTAGATGTTAATTTATTTTACAAGGTGTTAATATGATTTGTAGGATGTTGATATATTTTATAAGATGTTGATATGTTTTATAAGATGTTGATATGTTTTATAAGTTTTATAAGATGTTGATATGTTTTATAAGATGTTGATATCTTTTATAAGATGTTGATATGTTTTATAAGACGTTGATATGTTTTATAAGATGTTGATATGTTTTATAAGATGTTGATATGTTTTATAAGACGTTGATATGTTTTTGTAGGAGGGAGGAATGACTGATATGAGTAGACTGGTAGAGGTCTTTATTTGGATTATAATCCATCTGAACAGGAGGAGGGAGGACAATGGCTATGTTCCCTCTGTACAGGAGTTGATGTCCATCAGTACAACAGAAGCCAAACAACGGTGTCAAAGTGTAGGTAGCAGTGTTAATTATTTATATAGGTATCGGGAATGTTTTTAAGAAGACTGAATCTACATGAATGATCTATGGATGCATCTGCATCAATTATGACCCTTTCAATTTTTTAAGGGGAACCAATAGTCTGGCCATTAAATTACTAATATTGCTTATGCAATACTTTTAGAATGGTGTTACAAAAGTATATTGCAGTTGCAGTTGAATGATGGATATGTTATCTGAATTTACAGCAAGCTCATACAAGTCAGCCAGTGCCCAGAAGGAAGCGTTTATCCTATCAGCCCCGTCCTATAGGGGCAGGCCCTCAGCATGTAGCCCTGGTCAGAAACGGGGACCTTTATACCTGGGGCAAAACTTCACAGGGGAGGTAAGCACTGTGGGATTGTTAAATCCAACTACCATATGTACTTGCATATATTTGGTCCGCTTGTAAGTTGGTTGTATTTTTTGCAGTTACTTTGGAGGGATTTGCCATTGACCCCCTATAAGTTGGTTCAAACTTTTGCCGGAATTGGCTGACAAATTCAAACCAATTATCTGATATTTTAACCTACCGTATAAGTAGAATTTTTAGTGAGGATTAAATTTTGGCATTATTAGCGAGGGTGCTGACCTCACTAAAATTGAATATCGCTAAAAATTATTTGTGTAATATTTGTAATAGTTTCTTTAGGTAGCATTTTAAAATCGCTAAAATTACTTCTCGCTAAAATGAAATACCAGTTCTTAAGTAAAAATGGCTTAATTTGCGTCTCACTAAAATTTCCACTTATACGGTATTTTCATTCAATACTTTTAAAAAATGGCATTAATGTTTAATATTAAATCATTTTAAAAAAAATGAGAAACACACACTCAAGTTAAAAAATAAATTATTAAAATGTATAAATACTTGAATACTTTATGCATAATTTAAGAATAAATAAATTGTATGATATATAAAGACTTCGTTCAATAAAAGTAGACAGGGTTGTTTGTAAAATACTACATTTCATCATCCAGAAATATGACCCGCCTATAAGTCGGACATAGAGTTATAGACCAAATTTAACAAAAAAAAAACGACTCATAGGCAAGTGTATACTGTAAAATACAGACCTAGCCCCATGACCATAAACTGAGAATAGACTTAAGTCAAAATTTCAAATTGATATAACTTTTGAAATAATTTTTGTAATAAATAAAAATTGCCATCATATGTTTGAATTGAAGTGTTTTTCACAATTACAAATTTTTATTAAGTCTGTTCTCAGTTTATAGTCTTGGGGCCTGGCTGTTGGGCCATAAAACCAGGACTAGCTCACTTTTGATTTCAATCTCGCTTTTCCACTTTATATTCCTTATGTAAAAGTTTGACTTAAAAATGAGCTTTTTAAAGTTTTTAGCTCACCTGAGCCGAAGGCTCAAGTGAGCTTTTCTGATCACATTTTGTCCATCGTCCGTCCGTCTAGCTGTCCGTCCGTCTGTAAACTTTTCACATTTTCGACTTCTTCTCAAGAACCACTGGGCCAATTTTGACCAAACTTGGTACAAAGCATCCTGGGGTGAAGGGGAATTTAAATTGTTAAAATGAAGGGACATATCCCCTCGCAAGGGGAGATAATCAAGAAAAGAGAAAAATAGGGTTGGGTCATCAAAAAATCTTCTTCTCAAGAACCACTGGGCCAGTAAAGCTGAAACTTATGTGGAAGCATCCTGGGGTAGTGTAGATTCTAAATTGTTCAAATCATGACCCCCGGGGGAAGGGCGGCCACAATGGGGAATCCAAGTTTTACATAGAAATATATAGGAAAAATCTTTGAAAATCTTCTTCTCAAGAACCACTGGGCCAGAAAAGCTGAAACTTATGTGGAAGCATCCTGGTATAGTGTAGATTCTAAATTGTTCACATCATGACCCCCGGGAGAAGGGCGGGGCCACAATGGGGAATCCAAGTTTTACATAGAAATATATAGGAAAAATCTTTGAAAATCTTCTTCTCAAGAACCACTGGGCCAGAAAAGCTGAAACTTATGTGGAAGCATCCCGGTATAGTGTAGATTCTAAATTGTTCAAATCATGACCCCCAGGGGAAGGGCGGGGCCACAATGGGGTATCAAAGTTTTATATAGAAATATATAGGAAAAATCTTTGAAAATCTTCTTCTCAAGAACCACTGGGCCAGAAAAGCTGAAACTTATGTGGAAGCATCCTGGTGTAGTGTAGATTCTAAATTGTTCAAATCATGACCCCCGGGGGAAGGGCGGGGCCACAGTGGGGTATCAAAGTTTTATATAGAAATACATAGGAAAAATCTTTGAAAATCTTCTTCTCAAGAACCACTGGACCAGAAAAGCTGAAACTTATGTGGAAGCATACTGGTATAATGTAGATTCTAAATTGTTCAAATAATGACCCCCGGGGGAAGGGCGGGGCCACAATGGGGAATCAAAGTTTTATATAGAAAGATATAGGAAAAATCTTTGAAAATCTTCTTCTCAAGAACCACTGGGCCAGAAAAAGTGAAGCTTATGTGGAAGCATTCTGGGGTTGTGTAAATTCTAAATTGTAGGAATCATGACCCCCGGGGGAATGGCGGGGCCATTATAGGGGAATGAATCAAAGTTTTACATAGAAATATATAGGAAAAATCTTTGAAAATCTTCTTCTCAGGAACCACTGGGCCAAAAAAGCTGAAACATATGTGCCCATGGAAGGATCATGGGGTAGTGTAGATTTCAAAATGTCTAAATTATGATCAGTGGGGTAGGGTGGGGATGCATTATGTATAACAAGGGGGAAATCTGGTAAAGAACAGAATGGTCAAAGCTTCTCAGGTGAGCAATGTGGCCCATGGGCCTCTTGTTCTTTTTGCTGTGGAACCTGATTTCAGTTAACTAGAAATTTATGATGTTTTTTAAATCTTTAAAATTCATACTTCGGTTTTGTCCAATCTTACACAAGTGCTATTTCCTTTTTAAACTGCTTGAATTAAATAAAAGAAATTGCCTGAATAATTGATTAATATAGATTCATTTCTTTGTAGGTTAGGTCACGGAGACTTGGCTCTAGAGAACACAGTGTCACCTCCCTGCAGAGTGGAGACCCTTCATATGCTTCACATCAAAGTATTATCTGTCTCCTGTGGAGGGGAGCATACAATCGCCCTCACCCAACAAGGGGTAGGTTTATATCGCCCTCACTCAACAAGGGGTAGGTTTATATTGCCCTCATCCAACAAGGGGTAGGTTTATATCGCCCTCACCCAACAAGGGGTAGGTTTATATTGCTCTCACCCAACAAGGGGTAGGTTTATATTGCCCTCACCCAACAAGGGGTAGGTTTATATGGCCCTCACCCAACAAGAGGTAGATTTATATCGCCTACACCCAACAAAGGGTAGGTTTATATCGCCCTCACTCAAAAAGGGGTAGGTTTATATCACCCTAACCCAACAAGAGGTAGGTTTATATTGCCCTCACCCAACAAGGGGTAGGATTATATTGCCCTCACTCAACAAGGGGTAGGTTTATATCACCCTAACCCAACAAGAGGTAGGTTTATATCGCCCTCACCCAACAAGAGGTAGGTTTATATTGCTGTCACCCAACAAGGGTTAGGTTTATATCACCCTCACCCAACAAGGGCTACAGATATATGTATCTGTATAAAATTACACACCTTTAATTACAGGTTTATGGGTGGGGCTCCTCCAAGTACGGGCAGGTAGGAACAGGAACAACCCACATCTATAGCCGCCCGATGTTGATTGAAGCCCTATCAGGGGTCAGCTGTGTGGATGTAGTGTGTGGACAGTATCACAATCTAGCCCTCACAGTGGAGGGGGAGTAAGTAATAAAGATATAACAGCTAATCCTCACAGTGGAGAGGGAGTAAGTAATAAAGATATAACTGCTAAACCTCACAGTGGAGAGGGAGTAAGTAATAAAGATATAACTGCTAAACCTCACAGTGGAGGGGGAGTAAGTAATAAAGATATAACAGCTAATCCTCACAGTGGAGAGGGAGTAAGTAATAAAGATATAACTGCTAAACCTCACAGTGGAGAGGGAGTAAGTAATAAAGATATAACTGCTAAACCTCACAGTGGAAGGGGATTAAGTAATCAAGATATATTCACTGTCAATTTAAACGCAACACTCTACTTTTAGGGTGAAATATTATATACAGGATATAACTATGTACCAAACAAGTTAGGACATCTTTTACTTTGCCAAATCAGTTATTTAATGGTTGAATGGTTTTCATTCCATTACCGAAAGTTGATTTTTTAGCCCTCTTATTAGATAACATTTAAATAAAACACCCCCCTTCCGACCATTTAATCAAAACATGCTAGTCCGCCATGTACAACATTACATATATGCATTCCGATTTCTACCATGCATTAGGTTTATCAATGTCTTTAAAGATTCTTGGGCATTTTTAATTGCCTGTTGTTCAGATACTGCGGTCGAATTTTCTCTAACTTGGCGTAGTGTAGTAACTCTTGGACTTCCGGTCAAGAAACTGTTATTTATGCTATTGAAACACATGAGCCTGATGAGTCGTTAAATAGTGTACATATGCATCTGCAGCTCCTTTTTTTCTTTATTTTGAGAATTTCCAGCATTAGCAATGAAAATCAGTCATTTTGAGGAAATATAGGCATCGCATCCGGTAAAGAAAGAAGGATTTTTTCCCCGGGATTTTAGTACAATACTTATGATAAACAGCTACAAACCCTTGAAAACCCAAAATATTAATAAAAATTTTATTGAAAATGCAAAAATTTGATTTCTGTTAAGAGGGCTGAAAAGCAACTGCCAGTAGAGGAAAGGAATTCATTCAACCATTAAATAACTGATTTGGCAAAGTAAAAGATGTCCTAACTCGTTTGGTACATAGTTATAACCCGTGTATACTTTTCACCCTAAAATTAGAGTGTTGCGTTTTCATTGACGGTGAGTACATAACAGCTAAACCTCACAGAGAAGGGGAAGTAAGTAATCAAGATATAACAGCTAAACCTCACAGTGAAGGAGGGAGGGGGTAAGTAATCAAGATATAACAGCTAAACCTCACAGTGAAGGGGGAGTAAGTAATCAAGATATAACAGCTAAACCTCACAGTGAAGGGGGGGGTAAATAATCAAGATAAAACAGCTAAACCTCACAGTGAAGGGGGAGTAAGTAATGATAATATTACAATCCATCTGTCTCTGCAGAGTTTGAAGGTAATTATCATAATATGAGACACACTTTTTTCAATAACAAAAAAAGCAGTTCTTTTTGATAAATAAAGAGAGAAAGTTATTTATTTATCTTGCAGAATTCTGTGGTTTTGTTATGATATTTACTTTGTATTACAGTGTATACAGCTGGGGCTGGGGTGTACATGGTCAATTAGGTCATGGCAGTATTGAAGATGAATTGACTCCCACCAAGGTCACGGCCTTGACCCCATTACATGTGTCCCATATACAGGCAGGACATTGCCACTCCCTGGCACTCACTGAGGGGGTATGGAGAATTCTGAATCATTTAAAATTTGTAAAGTGACAAATTGAATATAGATATAGAGTTTGAAGTGTACAGCAATAGCACATCAAGTCTTCTATGTTTTTTTTTAAATGAATTTTAGTCTCTAGTATGTGATATATGAAACACTTGGGAAAAAATGTGTACTCATGTTTAATGATGTAATAGATACAACATAAATCTCTCTTATATTTGATTTTAAATCTCTCTTATATTTGATTTTCAGCTGCAATATTGTAAAATCTGTTACTAGTATAAGGGGATATTGCTTTAGTGCAATGATATACATGTGTATTTTATTTTCAGGGGACTGTTTATGCCTTTGGCTGTGGCTTCTTTGGCCAGCTTGGTCTTGGACATAACAGAAAATCCCCAGTTCCAGTGAAGGTCAATACACTGCATGAAAAAATAGCCATTGTGGGGACAAGATACTTCCATAATGTAAGTATTCCTACCAAGATAAAAATCTGGAATATTGAATTATTGTCAATCTTTGTAAGAAATGTATTGTCTGAGTTATTGATGACCATGTGCATGTTTAAAAAAGCAATGATAAGACTGTATGTGTAAGTGCCCACAAGTCTACACACTCGGTATTTTAATTATTTTTAAAAAATTGGTTTTTTGTTTTTTTTTTCTAAAGTTAATTCTAAGAATTTACTTGCATATAAAATTTTATTAATATATGCAAGTGAAGAATTTTATATTTTTTAAACACTAATGTGAAACACCTTCTTAGACTGTGTAATTAATCAACAAAATTTCATTCTACATACATGGATTTAATAACTAAATTTTGATTTTGTAGATACATGTATTTCACATGTATAAGAAAACGGCTGATTTACTGTATATCGTTGATGACTTATGGTTTATGATTGAGATGCCGTTAATTACAGGTAGCCGTGTCACTTAGTAACAAAGTGTACACATGGGGATGCCACCCCTATAATCTGAGGTTTGTGGCCCACGCGGCCAGGAAGGCCCGCCAAGCGGGAAAATTCATGGGGGACCCGGTGGATCAATTTCTCCTACCAGAAGTGGTGGATACAAGTTATGTCCACGGAAGAATCACCAAGGTCAGAATTTGTACAACCAACTGTCGAATTTAAAGAGAAATTTGATACAGGTAAAACAATTAAGACACAGTAATTTATAACCGGCTAATATGTATGTCTTATTAGCAGTGAAATTTTGTAGTACGGCTTGTAAAATCTTAAGTGAAAATTGATAAATAAGAACTCAGTTTTATGCATAAAATTTTCTGGTTACACCTGTTATAAAATTTTCTGGTTACATCTGTAATGTCCAATCACTACCTGACATTGTATATGAAATTTTTAGATTAAAGCTGAACACAATAGTGACAATAATAACGTAAACGTCTAATGCCGGACAGTAATCAAGATACTTACAATTATAGTTGTACAGGTCAGTGCAGTATACAAACAGATCCACGAGATACACATAACTGCAATAAACTGTAAACTCGCCATTCCACGCCGATACCCTTGACCATAAAGCAGTCAGGTGTGACGAATCTGAAGAGTATACCCTGGTGTTGATGTATCGTAGATAATGATATCAAAAATGGTGTATGCCTATTTACGAGTCGTGTTCAGCTTTAATCACCTGTAATGTCTAATCACTACCTGACATTGTATGTAAAATTTTCTGGTACACCAGTAATGTCTAATCACTTCCTGACAGGTAGCGGTGGGAAGCTCCCATAGTTTACTGATGACGTTAGACGGAGATGTATACAGCTGGGGACGTAACGCAGAGGGACAGATAGGAAACAACACTAAACATGAAATGGTAAGGAGTACATAATGTCAACACTAAACATGGAAACAACACTAAACATGAAATGGTAAGGAGTACATAATGTCAACACTAAACATGGAAACAACACTAAACATGAAATGGTAAGGAGTACATAATGTCAACACTAAACATGGAAACAACACTAAACATGAAATGGTAAGGAGTACATAATGTCAACACTAAACATGGAAACAACACTAAACATGAAATGGTAAGGAGTACATAATGTCAACACTAAACATGGAAACAACACTAAACATGAAATGGTAAGGAGTACATAATGTCAACACTAAACATGGAAACAACACTAAACATGAAATGGTAAGGAGTACATAATGTCAACACTAAACATGGAAACAACACTAAACATGAAATGGTAAGGAGTACATGTCAACACTAAACATTAAATTTTTAGCTCACCTCAACGAAGTTGGGGGAGCTTATGTAATACCCTCAGCGTCGGCGTCCCATGTTAAGGTTAAGTTTTTTGGAGCAGTTTTCTTTTTAAGTACTTCTAGGTCCTATATTGATTAGACATGCATGGAATATGCTCTAATGTGTTTCATTGTACCAGTCAAGGTTTCAGATGCTGCAATTTCAGCAAAGGAATGACGAGGTTAATGTTTTTGGAGCAGGTTAACATTTTTGATGCAGTTTTTGCTGTAGGTCTCATTTCCAAGGAACTATAAGCCCTATGTTGACCAAACTTGCATGGATGATACATCTAAGGATGTACACTACCAGACTTGCTTCAGATGCTGAATTTGACCTACATTTTCAGGTTAAGTGAACAGGTTAATGTTTTGGTGCAGGTCTCATTTCCAAGAAACTATAAGACCTATGTTGACCAAACTTGCATGGATGATACATCTAAGGATGCACATTACCAGGCATGCTTCGGATGCTGAATCTGAGCTACATTTTCTGGTTGAGTGAACAGGTTAATGTTTTGGGTGCAGGGTTCATTTCCAAGATACAATGAACCCTATAATGACCAAACTTGCATGGATGGTACATCTTAGGATGCATACTACCAGACTTGCTTCTGATGCTGAATCTGTCCTACATTTTCTGTATGAGTGAACAGGTTAAAGTTTTTGATGCAGGATTCATTTTCAAGTAACTATGAGCTCTTTAATGACCAAACTTGCATGGATTATACATCTAAGTTGCATTCTACCAGGCTGGCTTCAGATGCTGAATCTGACCTACATTTTTTTCTGGATGAGTGAAGAGGTTCAATTTTTATGCAGGTTTCATTTCTAAGTAGCTATTAGCCCTATGTTGTGCAAACTCGCATGGATGATACATCTTAGGATGCATACTAATGGACTTGCTCCGGTTGCTGAATTTGACATACATTTTCCAGATAATGGGCCAGGTAAAAGTTATGGGTGCAGGTCTATCACCAAGAAACTACAAGGCTTTAATAAACCAAACTTGCCCAAATGATGCATCAAGGGATGAAAACTCTTAAACTTGCTTCAGATGCTGGATTTTGATCACATTTTCGTGATGAAGAACTAGTTTGAAGTTTTTATATAGGTCTATTCCAAAGTATCAGATCAAAATTGCATAAATTTTGCATTTTGGAGGTACACTTTTTGTTGGGTAATTGTGTGACTTTGCCCTACTTAAAGACAACATTCGTTGAGGTGAGCTCTGTAATCTCTGATTACCTATGTTTATGGTAAGTAATAATTATATAATCAGGTTGTGCTTTGCATGCACTATACCTAAATAGTAGTCAGGGTTTGTCACACAGTGTCAAGCCAGAGACTCCATAAAACGGATATCTTGTCAACAAATTTGATTTACAAGTATATCATCCTTCAAACTTCATACTCAATGTGTTACTGAAGTACTTTTTTCCACGTGGTATTAATTTACGCTATGTACGCAGTCACAAATTTTCCGCGGAAATTTGTCCAAGGCGTACTTAATATAAATGTAAGGCATATAGTGACAGTTTAGAAATCCGCGTAATTTTCTATCAGCGGATTAAACAGAAATTGAGATTCCGCGGAATTATGACCCCGTGGAAAAAAGTACATCTACAGTAATTAAATAGAACTTAAATTTGTTTGTGGGGGGGGGGTTTAGATACAAGTACAATGCAAAGCTGTACTGGTACACATTTATGACTGTCAATTTAGTTTTCTTTGAATATTCTCAAATGATCAGGAATTCTTTTTCAGAAACATCCAAACATAATTACACAGATCAATGATCGTCGGATGGCACATCTAGCATCAGGAGGCGAGTTTAATGTTACCATGGATAGCGAGGGATTAGTCTGGGTCTGGGGCAAGAATGACTTTGGACAGGTATATAGTTTATAGTTATATGCATTGGACAGGTACACAGTTTATAGTTATATACGTTGGACAGGTACACAGTTTATAGTTTTATACATTGGACAGGTACACAGTTTATAGTTATATACGTTGGACAGGTACACAGTCTATAGTCATATACATTGGACAGGTACACAGTTTATAGTTATATACATTGGACAGGTACACAGTTTATAGTTATATACATTGGTACACAGTTTATAGTTATACACATTGGACAGGTACACAGTTTAAAGACATACACGCATTAGACAGGTACTACAGTTATAGACAACTTAGTCAGGTACTTAGTTTACAGTTATAGACACATTGGACAGGTACACAGTTTATAGTTATATACATTGGACAGGTACACAGTTTACAGACACACATTAGACAGGTACCACAGTTATAGACAACTTAGTCAGGTACTTAGTTTACAGTTATAGACACATTGGACAGGTGTATAGTTTACAGTTCTAGAAACATTGGATAGGTATACAGTTTACAGTTGAAGACACTTTGTGCAAGTTAACAGTTTTTGATTATAGACACATTGGACAGGTATACAGTTAACAGTTGTAGACACATTGAGCTGGTACACAGTTTACAGTTATAGACACATTAGACAGGTATATAGTTTACAGTTGTAGACACTTTGTGCAAGTTCACAGTATCTGGTTATAGACACAATGGACAGATAACCAGTTTTTAATTAGACACCTATTATTGTTTTAGTAAAAAGATTTCTTGTTATTTTTCACAGCTAGGACTGGATAAATTAGATAGTCCGACAGCTGTCAAGCAAAGCAGAGTGCACACCCACCACAGACACAGGGAAACAGTGACCTCGGTGACCGAGATACTGGTCCCCAATATTTGTGCTGGTATCCCAGCTCCTAAACCAATCAACAGGTTGAGGCACACTGTGTCACAGTCTGATTCATATGACAGTAGTGAAGAACACTGGGTAATAATTGCAGACATTGAATGCTATTGATTGTGATTAAACTAAGTTTTTAAAGGAAGGACCTTTGGCAGAAATATTTTTTTAAAAATTCTATTATATGGTAATACTTGTATTTATGTGGTTCTGATTTCTTTCATGTACCATTATAAAAATCAATATTAATTTTCATACAAGAATGATACATATTTAATCTTGGAAACAGATTGGGATAGAAAGAGTGGACCACAGACACCTGGATAAATTACCTGATCTTCAGACCCTTACTGAGTCTAGGTACAACAGACTGGTCATTCTGGAAGTCTTACAGGTGAGTGTTACAGACACCTGGATAAATTACCTGATCTACAGACACTAAGTCCAGGTACAACAGACTGGTCTTTCTAGAAGTCTTACAGGTGAATGTTACAGACACCTGGATAAATTACAATGTACCTGATCTTCAGACACTGAGTTCAAGTACAGACTGGTCTTCTCGAAGTCTAAGATGTCAGTGTTCAATTATTTTCTTATTGCTAGCAGTGATTTTTGTTCATCACATTTACAGTAACAGTATTGTATTTTGTATAAGACCGATGCAAATATATTACTTATATTTGTCATACAAAGTTTCTGCATTTTCTTCAGAAATAACAACCATATGCCTTATTCCTATATTTTTGTATGTAGACAATTATAATATTATAAAATGTAGTATAGTTCTTGCAGAGAAAGTTAAATGATTTACTGTTTGCAACAAAGTGATGTGTGTGTACAAATAAGAATGTTTCCTGCTTGAGATTTTATATTAGCAGTTTATATTTTCTAGCACCTGTGTGACTTCTGTCATTGCGTTCAGTTGCTAAGGAAGTGTGTAGACGTTCAGGACTGGCTCAGTGCTGTTTACATCTGTATACACCAACAAAACTACCCACAGGTATTTAATGTTATTTGGCTTGCTGAAAACTTAAACTTGCAGTTCAAGTTTTTTTTCAGTTTTTTTTTCTATTTATTTTTATATCCATATATCATACTGGTAAATTAACATGCACATGCATAATTTAAAATATTTGTTCGAGACATTTTGAAAATTTATTTATCAAAATTTACAAAGGTATCAAGGCAAAATTAATAAGTAGTTAAAACTAGTGGAAAACAATGTTTAAAAAGAGAAATTCTTTTTAATGTTTGATACCTTTTTATTATAGGCACTGACCTTTCACCTCTCTGCGCTTAAAAAATACAAGCATCACTTTGAGAAGTTCAAGGCCATTGTAGCAGCAGTAATAAACCTGTACCTCCAGTAGGTATCATAACTGTAGCATTATGGGAATATCATCAGTGCTATATTTGCATCCAGGGTCAAGGACACTGTGTTTCTTCTTTATATCTGTCCCTTTGTCTGCTGCAACTTTAACCTTACTCAGTAACTCTGGAAGTAAAGAATTGGATGAATTCAAAGGTCTGAAGGTACCAATGTGTCACGACTTAAAATCAAGGTCATGTGAACAAAGTCATGAAGATACATGCCCATGCAATGCAAATTATGATTTTAAAAGAGTGGGGTTTAAAAAAAGAATTGGTGATTGGGGGTTGGGGGGGGGTTGGAATTTCTTACCTTTTGGTACATTTTTTGCCAGTGTTCTTACTTGTAGTGACAAAAAGGGAAGTCTATCTATCTAAAAGTAAATTTACTTATTAAAACTAAAGCAAAAAACATTTCTAAGAAAATTGATGAGGATATAATGAGTATAATTACATAATCAAAGTTCTGCTCCTTCTCTATGTAAAAATTATCAAGCTTTTTAGAGACACATTAGTCCTGAATGATACACTTATCAATCTCATTTTAGGCTTTGTGTAAAGCAAGATTTGTCAGCAGGACAGAAGGAAGAGAATTATAGGATTCTTATTATAGAGGTAAGCACCTAAGAGATGTCAAATGAATGTTTTAAGCATATTTTATTGACAGTATGTCAAAGGGATTGGACACAAGTTCCAAAAAACTTAGAAACTCCTCTCAAACAAATACCATCAGCAGGCACTCACTCTCACAATTAATACACACAAGCACCCATCAACTGTAATAAATCAATACATGTAACAAAACAACTATCATCTGTAAAATAAGATACAAACACTAATCAGTCAATGCAATGCAAACAGGCATCAGATGTCATATTGTATCTTAATTTAAAAAAAAATAGAACCCCTACCTAATAAATCACAATTTACACTTCATTGCAACAATTAAGGACACTCCAGATGTGCCTACTGCAACTGACACAAAATTCTCACAATTTATTAGGTTTGGAAAGTTTTGTGTTAAGAACATGATTGCCAAGTGCTTTTGTAAACCAGCTCTTTTTTTTTTTAAGTGTCAATCTTGCAATTTAAATTTTTATGAAAATTTAATTTTTCCCCTGTCAGATCCTCCATTTCTGGGAAGAGGAACACTTAGTGACTGGTGACCTTGAGAAGTTAGTGACCCCTTACCTTGATCACCTGTCTAGTATCCTATCGGTCATCTTATTCTGGTCAGTATACAAAATCATTGAAACCTTAAGTACAGAAAGGTATACATGTACTTTAATAACTTTACTTAATAATTTTTGTTTAAAATTGTTGAAAGAATACAGGGTTAATACTTTCTAAGAGTTTTTCTTATGACTTCATTTTTTAAATTCTTTTTGATATGATGTTTTAAAGATGAAAGTAAAAACATTTTAAATTTCACTTGCTTATTTTGATAATTACATAAAATCTACATAGAAAAGATGAATAGAAATTAAATCAAAATATTTGGGTGTTCATGGATTTTGTCTTCAATATGTTTCAGGCCACAGGTTGATGAGGAAAGCCATGAAACAAAGGCCAAGCTTCATTTCTCAACTAAATTCTCTCTAACAGTTTTACAAAACGTAATACAAAAAATACAGTCACTAGACTTTGAAAAGAAGCATCCAGTATGTTACCAAGCCTACCAGTCAGTTGCCATGGATACCGGAGAAGGTCAAGGTCTTGACCTTCAGCCTAGTGAGAAGATGATACCATATCAGCAGCTATGGCAAGACGTGGTACAGAATCTGCAGAAAGGAGCGGAGACACGTCAGTTCATCTCCATGACGCGCAGCGAGATCGATCATCTGGATGAAAAACTCCATGGCAGCCAGGCTAGTGACGCGAGCCAAGACAACAACAGTGTTCTGTTTACATGTGGTCATTTCTATACAAAACAGAATTTCTTAGAGGAGGTGTTGACCAAGTTTCAGCGAGAACTGTCTCACGGTCCTGGTAGTTTACCCGGCAGTGCCCAAGTCCTGGTTAAGTATTACCATAGTAACGACCTCCTTCCTTTGGCCTGTCCTAAATGTGTTCTCAACTCTCTACATTCTGTCGGGAATTAAAGAACTGGGCAGAATTACCAAAATTTACCATAAAACTGTGATATACATGTACATACATGTACGTAGAAAATGTAGCAATGGTCCATTATCATATCATCAAAATGCTTCATGATACTGGTGACATTTTCTCAGAATATAAATTTGTGCAGTACCAGGGATATGTTACAGTTAAAATTAGTTGGCAGTTCAAATCTTTCATACCATTTTGTATATTTGAACTTCAACATATCTAAAAGTTTATACTGGTCTCACACAGTTCTAGATATGAAGACTTGACTGTAATACAATTGATGTTCTTGAAGGCAGACTACATACAGTCCATGTGCGAGCCAAAAGTATGACTCTCTATGAAATGTAGAAAGTAATTTAAAAATATTGGTGCTTATTGTGCAATTTTTATTCATTAAATGAAATAATGATTCAGGTATAATCCTAATATATATATATACTAGTATAGCAGGCTGAAGTATAATATTGTTTACTTATATCTTACAGTTTGTTCAAAATTATTGAATAAGCCATTTGAATATTTTATGATACTTAGTCACATACCTCAGGATATGTTATTGTATTTATACTTGTAAAGGTTTAAACTTAATGAATTGTTGATATGAAATGTAATATTTATGTCTAAAGAAAGACTGCACTTTAGTACGTCATTTGGAACCTTTTTGGCTACCCATTTTAATCTTTGCATTACAATATATCACTAAATTAATCTATGATTATTGTGCAAGCATATGCTTTTGATATTTATGCCTTGAAATTTTTGTCATACATATTTCTCTAATTACAGACAATGCCATTGAAAAGTACATGTATAAGCCTTAAATTCCAGAAATTTGAACGGGACCACTATCGAATTTAGGGTACCTGCAAATAGGTGGAGACATTTAAATCGCATTGATGTGGAATGTAAACAATAGCACATATGATTTTTTCACAATCAGATGCTACACTACGAATTTAAATGTTGAAGAGAGATTGTGTAGTTTCATGGTGCACAAATAATAGATTCTAGTGTTTAGGGAAAGGTTAGATGTATATATTGCTCTGCAGACTATAATACTGAGGCGACATGAGCCTATATTTACTAATCTCACTACCAATACCAGAATTCTTTCAAAACACTCCAAACGAAAAATACACAGTAAAATAAGAGACGTATAATCTTTGAACCTTATTAAAATTTGCGCAAAAATCTTCCATAGTTTGAAGTTGGAAGTACGATAGATACTATCCGAATAGAAACTTCAAATGACAAACACAATGAAATGTTCAATGAAAGCGTTGGCGTATCGAACCGTGGAATGTCATGTGAGTAAAGTGATTATAATATCAATTGTTGACACTCGGGGACCTGTTAATTTAGTGGCTAACTAGTTTGGAGACTTTTTTCAAAAAATTAGATATGAGCAGCAACTTGGCCAACATTGTCCTTTGGATTTGTATAAGTTTAAATTAAAATAAACATTCTGTGCAAATGAGACCAATGGCCAAGTTGCGGCTCGATGTAAATATTGTTGTTGAAGATTGGTATGCATATGAATAACAATAGAAATGTGACAAAACTGTTAGACCCCTGTCTCAAAAGCTAGTGTTTCTCGGCATTATTTAGTACTTTCATGTAATATAATATACCAAAACCTGCTCTTAAGACATTGTTTAATACCTATAAAACATAAATTCCATGAAATTCGGGATTTTATTTTGTGCAAAACACTGGGACCCAACTCTCATAGCTTAAGGTCAAGATCTAGTAAATGACGTTAGAATTACTTTTCAGAGCTAAATCCATTATGACGTCATAATCACTTTCAACTTTCTTTTTCCCGTACTTTACGGCTCAAATAGAAATATGTAGAGAATAAAGTATTTTCTTGGAATTCAATTTGAAATCACATGAAAAGTAGTCATGATACCTATCTTTAATGTAACATTATTTTAAAGTAGAGACTAAGAACATACTAATATTGGTTTGTAGAAGAACTGTAGGCAATCTGGATACATTTTCTTTGTCTGATATGGAAAAAAAACTCCCATTTTCAATACTGGTTTTCTTAATTTTTCATAATATATGGTTTTTCATCCAAAACCTATTTTGACCAAGCTAATGTTATAAAGCATCATTAAAGGAATTGATTTCTTAAATTTGAAAAATGTGTAGGCACCTTCCATTTACTAGATCTTGACCTTAAGTGCACTCATCCTTTTTAATAAAAGACATTTATAGTCTTACATTATGAAAATGTATTTCCAAAATCTAATGGAATAGGCCTTACTCAGATACATGTAATAAAAATTCAAACTACCAGAAAACCAAGCTGCATTTATTGTTTTTTATCTGGAAAAAAATGCAATTCTTAGACACTCCTGGCATACAGACTCGCTGGGAAACTAAGCTACAAAACTATGAAGTTTTACAAGGGGCATGTACCGAAGATTTACAATATGTAAAAGAACAGAAGATGATAAGTAGAATAAGAGGAGATATATATATATATATAAAAAAAAAATGTCATTGAAGAAAAATAATACAAAGCGTTACCTGAACTTCAGATTTTATCTTCAGGGTTAAACCCGTGTAAAGTATCATGAGAATTAAGGTACTTCAGGGTCACTCATTAGATGGAAAAGGCAATTTATTTTTACAACTTTAAATGTCAATCATTCTACAAAAGCATGCCCAAGTAACATTTTTTAAGTCGCTGACAAAAATTTACATTTGTAATATCTTAATTATAATTTTAAAGATCATCTCTGATTCTCAACTCTGAGAGTTTACATACTTGTAAATATTAAGAGATAGATGTGCAGGTTAAAAAGTGTTTTAAAAAGGTATTTATACGGCTTTAGGTATTCCACTGCAAATCTTGTGTCGCTCACTCGTTACATTTCAAGGTGAATTTTAAGCTGTATGGGAGTTCTGATTAGATTGCAATGAGTGTTAAAGAAAGATTTTTTCTTACATAAGAAGAAAAAAAATCACTTCTGATGATGAAATGCATGGATTTTCTTTCATACGAAATCATACCATGCCAGTGCAAAGTGGAGGGGAATAACTATAATATAAAATACTTCTGTTCGGATATACTTTGCACTGGCCCAACCCTAGTGATGGATATTGCATAATTATACCAACACAAAAATTAAATAACTACATTGGTTTCAAGCATTTTGTTTTGAAAAAATCTATTTCCGAAGACTGCGTGATTTTGAATAATTGGTCTTTAGAAAAATGGGACCCTTTAAAGATGTATATCACATTGATATACCGCACCAACAGGACGAATTTGTAAAAATCAAACGAAGTAATTTCTGTCTTATAAATCGAGCGTGAAGCCTTTTTGAAAGATATCGTACAACTCTTTTTTTTTTAATCAAAACTAATACATATATTATGCCTTGGGTCGTATACAAAGACTCAGATAATCAGTATAGATTGGTTTAAAGACAACGCCTCCAAAAGTTATATCATCGCCCTTTAACAACGCTAAAGCATTGGTGTTTTAATTGATAAGGCTGAAATTTAAATTTTAAAAAAGTTAGAAGATATACCGATATAAACCCCAAAATTGACCCAACACAGTAATGATGTATTTTACTTGAATTTATCATGATTTTTCAAAGCAAGTGATTATGTTACGATTTCATGTAGTAACGGGAGAGGAGAAAAATGCAGCGGACCAGACGGGGATTCGCACCCGGGCCCCCTGAATCTCTGGTCAGGTGCTCTACTAGCTGCAGAACTGTAGCGTTACGGTTTTATATGTTAGTCTTTGACCATAACGCCACAGATCCCGTAATGCAAAAAAAATGTGCAATTTACGGCGCAAGATTTTTTGTGCACTGTTTGGGAGAATTTCTCCAATTTCCAACTTTGGTAATTCATCTACCTTTCACCCCCTAATTCCAGACACATTCTTAAACCAATTTGTATATATTTTATCCCCCTCTCAACCCTTTATAGTCGCCTACAGTCAGTTTATTTTAAAATGTGTCTAGAATTATGAAGGGAAAGGTAGATGATTTACAAATGTTGCAAATTGGAAAAATTCTCCCAAACTGCGCAAAAAATCTTGCGCCGTAAATTGCACATTCTTTGCATTACTGGATCTGTAGCGTTATGGTCAAAGACAAATATATAAAACCATAACGCTACGGTTGTGCACCTAGTACTCTACGAACTGAGCTATCCGACCACCGATGATCGAACCCGGCTGACCGACACATTTCTCCCTCCTTGAAGGTCTTTGGCCCCAAGGACCCCAACCCAGGCTCATCCCTGGCAGACCTCTCACCTTTCAATTCCAAGGCATAGCACGGCATCAAATGTAACGGGAGAGGAGAAAAATGCAGCGGACCAGCCTGGGATTCGAGCCCGGGCCCCCGTGCTCTACCAACTGAGCTATCTGGCCACCGGCGATTGAAGCTGACTGCTCGCCACAATATATAATGTGTAACGACACGTATGTTCAGAAAAATCTGCTTATTAAGAATACAGTTATAGCGGATTTACGGCTACCTAGCACGTTTTTATGGGATCCCAGAAATAATTTTTAACAAATCTTTAAATTTTGATAATTACAAGGATTTCTGATATAATGGGTTTAAGCGTAGTGTGTCAAGTAAAGGTTAAAGATATAAAAACATATATGTTTTATAACGAACTCATGAAGATATAAAAATCAAATTAATTATTGAACTGACATTAATATCGCAAGAACTTGAATTTATAAATCAAATTGAAGTACAACATACCGCTGGGTCGTATTTTATCTTGTTTAATACCATCAGGTCATTGCGTTTTTACTACATTTGACTACGGACTACACTGTCTACCTATACATATAGGGCTCACGGCGGGTGTGACCGATCAACAGGGGATGCTCACTCCTCCTAGGCATCTGATCCCACCCCTGGGGTTTCAAGGGCTATGGTTACCAGGTATTTGGTTTGCCCTGCTCACCATTCCTTTTTTTGTACTTGATTTATGAAATGGATCGCTTCTCGTTACCTTTACCGTTGATTTCCATTAGTATATTCATCTTTTATTATGTTGAATGTTTTAACATAATTGTTTCCTGTCGATTACTGAAGTGACATGCAAAAGTAAAATTTGTACGCATGTATGACTGACAAAGTTGAAAAGTCATCTTGCATGTATATTTAATAGATTCGCCTCTTGCAAATAATATGCCTCATCTCAGCGCAGTTCATCCATGCAGTTTAGTAGAATTTTATAATATCGGTATTTTAAATATTTTATAATCTTAGGTGTTTGATAACAGCCCTATTGTGCGCGGAAACAACTATATAGTACTACCTTATACATGTATTAATGTTTATTCAAAACATGGGTAATCAGAGATTACAGAGCTCACCTCAACGAATGTTGTCTTTAAGTAAGGCAAAGTCACACAATTACCC